ATGGTGCCAACTTGGGCCAGTGAAGCAACGTCCTCCACAACTAGACTGAAGAACAAAACGACAGCAACTTGTCTGTTCCCCTTCCCCCAATTCCCTAGCACTGTTCCCATTCCCCCATTTCCCCAATAAAAACCTTTAAAAAAAAAAAGTTAAAATAAAAATATATATTAATAATAAAATGGCAATAACTACATATCTGCCAACAATTACTTTAAATGTAAATTTATTAAATGCTCCAAAAAACAAACAAACAAACAAAAAAAACCAGCCACAAATGGAAAACCGTATTTTCAACCTGCAGCTGCTCAGGGAATGTGAAAAACTGTTTTGAATCCACGGTTGGTTAAGTAAAATCTGTATATAAGGGAACCCACACAGTTCAAACCCTTGTTCAAGGGTCAACTGTATTTTCAATTACTGTATACACTTTGCTTCTCTTTCTCTTCCAGACCAGCTCAAGTTATCCAGCTGTAAAAGGCAAACCTTGAAGGAAACAGGATGGGGAAGTGAAGTTACAAATTGTATTTACAGGCACTTCACCCTCTGTAATGGAGAGGAAATGTTTTCAACTGGATTTCCTTCACATCAATAAAGTCAGGTTAATAAATATAAGGCTACATACCTATGTTTTCATCCTTCATCTCTTAGTATTTCTTTTCATCTACCCTTTATTTAACCAAACTCACCCTTTGCTTTCTCCTCTCTGCCTATGTAAAAAGTACTTTCAGAAATGATTTTCACAATTAAATCTGTAATCCTGTGAAAAAGGTATTAGTATTTTCATGTTTAAAAATATTCTGGTTGGGCCGGCCGAGTGGTGCATTCGTTAAGTGCTGGCTTGGGACGCCAGCTCTGAGCAGCAGAACCCTGGTTCGGATCCCATATGAGGGCCAGTGACACTGCGCCCTCTACAGCTAAGATGGTGAACAACAGCTCGACCTGGAGCTGGGCTGCCATGAGTCGCTGGCAACGGTGTAGGCTGCAGCCCCTGCTGTAGTGGGCTGCCATAAGCTACCATGTGTGGCCGGCAGCCAGCGTGAGTGGCCAGCAGCCGGTGTGAGCTGCCCAAGAGCTGTTGTGAGTGGCCGTTCAGAGGCCAGCGACTGATCTGCCTCACCCAGGAAGAGCGCAATGATAATACCAACATTGGCCAGTGAAGCAATGTCCTCTACAACTAGACTGAAGAAGAAAAGGACAGCATGTCTGTTCCCCTTCCCCTGATTCCCCAGCACTGTTCCCCTCCCCCAATTCCCCAATAAAATCTTAAAAATAAATAAATAAATAAATAAATAAATAAATAAAATATTCTGGTTGTATTTGCATCTCACAGGTGAACAAATTCACAACAAAGATGAGATGGTTGGCCCAAATCATATAACCAGCAATGATGAAGGCAGGACCTGAAACAAAGTCTTCCAGCGCCAAACACAGTATCATCTTCAACTACATCACAGCTCTGTAACTGTTTAGCACTTGCTTAACACTAAACATAAAAAATAACCATAAATTTTCAATTGCTGTGACCTAAATCACCTGGGATGTTTTGGGTATGGTATAACAGGTGCCGAAAGGTGCATCTTCCATGGTTTAAATATGGTGAGAGAACATGTGTGTCCTTAGAATCAGATATAGGAAGGAACAAGGAACCTAAAGTATCTTACTGTTTGTCACTGTAGACCAAGAAACCCCACACTGATTCCTACCACCCAGAGTTCAGCTCTGGATCGTGCTCTGCTGAAGCTGAGGGGGGTCAGTAGTCACCAGAGAGCTGCAGTGCTACCCCCAAACATATACAGCACCCATTCTCATAGCTTGCATGTAATATTTCAGAACATGTGTATTATAGGTATACATCATATGATTCTGTCCTAAGTCACAGAATTTGCATTATCTGCCTAAAATTCATGGAAGGTCCCAGAAATTTCAGGAAGCTAATTGAGTGGATAGGTGTTACTCAACTTAATTCTACATACTAAGTGTATATTCCAGACAGACCTGTGACTGAACCCAAAGTTCCTATCTAGAGTGTCCATGTGCATTTTCTGAGAGGGTTGAGCTTTCCTTGGGTTTTCAATAGGGTCTATGGTTCAGAAAGGTCACTGATTTAGCGGAAAAGTTTTAAGACAAAAACAAATACAATACAGAACAAAATATGCTAGTATATATGAGAAGAATATAGTAATGAAGTTTTTCAGAAGGAGAAACCAAAGGTGCATTTCAGAAAACACTGTTTATCAGACGGCATCTGAGTTCAGCCTTTACAAGTGGGTTGAACACCAACAGGTATTATATTACAGAAAGGCAAGGGATTTTTTTAAACAGAAGAAAAACTTAATGAAAACAAAGGCAGGGAGGTAGGAAAAAAAGGGCAGTTTGCACGAAAGATATGTTTAGAGCACACTAGGGGCTGTGACTAGGAAGCAGGTCTGCCTCGTGCAGAATGGAGAACACTGTGAGGAATGTGCGGGCAAGCATGGGCAGGAAGGGACCGCACCAGGCAAGGCACAGGGGCTCTCCAGGAGCGAGGAGACCAGGAGCATGGGGATACCCGTGTGGAAGACAAAGAGGCAGGTGGGAGCGGTGCCATCTATGGTAACCCAGCTCTATCCTGCACTGAACCAGGAGAGGCAGGTAGGCAAACATTTTATCCCGGCCTGAGACATAAGGTGTGCCAGCTCCTGCTGTGCCCAGCTGAACATAATCTTTACCTATGTGTAAAGCCTCAGGGTGCTGCTCAGCATTTTACTCCAAGACCTATTACTTAAGACCAGCAGGGAATTCCTGCTGACCCTGTTGCTTTCTTGGTGTTGGGGTCTGCAACTACAGCTAAGAATTCTGTTGTCAGAAAATGAAAACTGCATAAAACAGCTTTATGATTCCTAAGAAAACTAAGTTACTAAATGTTTGAGCACTGTTGTGGTGCTAGATTTTAAGCACCCACCTTATTAACATCCTTAAAATGAACTCTATTTACTTGTACACACAGTTTCATTCTGAGCACTATCCTAAATCTGTAAAAGAAAGAAACCAACAAACCCTCATATTCCTGGGTGATAATGTAGACTATAATAAAGAGATACACACATGAGGTCTGACAATTAAGTTTGCGAACTTGTTGCAATGATGTTGCTAACCTTTTTTTGCTATCAAAGGGATTACTCATTATGAATTTGTACCAACTGGACAGTTAACCAAGTTTACTATTTGGAAGTGCTGAAAAGGCTGTGTGAAAAAGTTAGACGACCTGAACTTTTTGTCAACAATTCATGGCTCTTGCATCACGACAGTGCACCAGCTAACACAGCACTGTCTGTAAGGGAGTTTTTAGCCAGTCAAATAACTGTATTGGAACACCCTCCCTACTCACCTGATCTGGCCCCCAATGACTTCTTCTTTACCCAAAGATAAAGGAAATACTGAAAGGAAGACATTTTGATGACATTCAGGACATCAAGGGTAATACGAAGACAGCTCTGATGACCACTCCAGAAAAAGAGTTCCAAAATTGTTTTGAAGGATGGACTAGGCGCTGGTGTCGGTGCATAGCTTCCCAAGGGGAGTACTTCAAAGGTGACAGTAGTGATATTCAGCAATGAGGTATGTAGCACTTCTTCTAGGATGAGTTCGTGAACTTAACTGTCAGACCTCATAAATCTTATCAAATATAAGTGATTTTTTATGTAATTTGAGTAAAAGATTTTAAAAATGCCTGTAGGATTTTAATTATTAGAACAAGAAGGTAATATAAATAGAATTGAATTTTGTTTGATAGTAACAGACTTTTGAATTCCGGTGCACTCACACAAACAATATAACAATAAGTAAATGTGAATACCACTCCAGTTATCACCACATCACTCCAGTTAGCAGATACTGTACAGGGGTTGTAAAAAGCCAAAGCAGTAGAAGTCCCTAAGCTCACCTTCAAAAAGTAGTCAAACAGGGGCCTGTATTTTTTGCCTTTGAGAGAGGCACCAGGAAATCTAGAAAAAGGAGAAAGGCAAACACAGTAAGATTCAAACTGTCAAGGAAAAGAGGCTGTAGCCACACATCAAGTCACTACTCCCTGTGATTTATTTGTTCCTTAGTCATTAATCCTGGAACATGTTACCTGAATGTACTAGTACTTAAAACTTAAAAACAGTACTTAAGTACTCAGTATTTCAACCGGTATTAGTAATATAGAGAAGGGGCATGAGGACTATTTTCACAGAAGGAACTAGGAGGTTGGATTCCAAGCCTGCTGCCTATGTGCTCCAAGACACAGAACTCAGGCAGACGCTAATCAATGACACAGCAAACTACTGAAAGACTAGAGGGATCCCATTAGGACCATCCCTGTAGTTAAGGCCACGGAAAGAAAACACAGGTTATACTTTACAAGAATTAAAGACAAACCTGTCCCATCCTTCTTGCATCTTAATGAAGTTAAAGAGAAACTTACCAGTGTTCTTCTACCCTCCTCCACACTCCCCCATACCACTGAATTTTCCATGGAAGCAGAAAACACATATAAACCCTAGCCGGGGATGGAGGGAATCATTCTTCCACCAGCCATTAGAGACCTTTCTTTTCATTCTTACTTTGTACTAAATAAACTTACTTTTACTTTAAACTCTGCATTGGCTCATGTTTGAATTCTTTCCTATGTGAAACCAAGGACCCTCTTTTCCTGCAACATTAGTACTTAAAACTAAACTTGAGGGCCAGTCAAGTGGTGCATTGGTTAAGAGTTGGCTTAGGATGCCAGCTCTGAGCAGCAGGGCCCCGTTTTGATTCCCCTTTGAGGGCCAGTGATGCTGTGCCCTCTACAGCTAAGATGGTGAACAACAGCTCGACCTGAAGCTGGGCTGCCATGAGTCACCGGCGACGGCGTAGGCTGCAGTAGACTCCTGGAAGCTACCATGAGCGGCCAGCAGCCTGTGTGAGCTGCCATGAGCCACCGTGAGCAGCCGTCCAGTGACTGGTGACTGATCTGCCTCACCCAGGAAGAGTGCAATGATAATACCAACATGGGCCAGTGAAGCGACATTCTCCACAACTAGACTGAAGAACAAAAGGACAGCAACTTGTCTGTTCCCCTCCCCCAATTCCCCAATAAAATCTTAAAAAAAAAAAAAGGGATCTCCCACTTAATATTAATAATCCATTCCAAAAAACGAAACTTGAATAACATAGCTTTTGGATAATGAGGTGCCTTACTTTTTCAAACTAAAGACACATACATGCACAAATCAATGATTTGTTTATTTACCTTTCAAGGATCTCATAGTCACTCTCCAATTTATAGAGGGCTGATAATCTGGCTTCCATTAAAATGAATAATTTTCCTCTGACAGCATCTATAAGAACAATGGAAAAAGTATACTTCAGTGATATTCAGACTATGGCTTACTCTAAAGACTTGCATCAGTATACTTCTTCCTTCAGGAGCTCCTGTATCACCTGCATCCAGTGTGCTCGGCACTCACAGAAAAATACTAAAAAGAACGCTAGGACACACTGCTTCCTAGACACAAAAAAGACAAAAACATTAAAAGCTGTTAGGCAGCTCATTAGTTGTTGTTAATTGCACCTGTGTCCATTTTAAGTAAATCAATCTTTATTTTCTCCACCAAAGGTAATATATATGGGAATGTTTCAAAGTCATAAAATGAACAAACCAAGAAGCTCACAAATAAGAGTACCCCAGTAATCTCACCCTCCCTTGGGCACTCATTTGACTGCCTGTTCCTCCAGGCATTTTTCTATGTATATAGTAACATACACGTTATGTGAATGGGTCATTTTATTTATTTTTATTTTTTTAAATTGGGAGAACAGTATGTTTTTTCAGGACCCATCAGCTCCAAGTCAAGCTGTTGTCCTTCAATCTTAGTTGTGGAGGGTGCAAGCTCAGCTCCAAGTGGTCTCCACTTTCAATCTAGTTGCGGGGGAAAGGGGGCACACGCGCAGCCCACCATCCCATGTGGAAGTCGAACCAGCAACTTTGTTGTTAAGAGCACGCGCTCTGACCAGCTGAGCCATCTGGCCACCCGTTGGCAGCATAGCTCAGTGGCCCATGTGGGAATCGAACTGGCAACCTGTCTCTCAGAGCTCGCGCTCTAACCAACTGAGCCACCCGGCTGGCCAACTCAATATAGTTTTGTATTTGTTTTCATGTAATATATTGTGAATATCTTTTCATGTATTAACACATATATCTTTCTCATTCTTTTAGACATCTCTACAGTACTCTATTTTAATGAAAGTACTATTTTTATTTATTTTTTTTAAGCTGAGCCTTCCTGCCACCTACCTGTTGGCAGCTCAGCAGCAGCTCAGCTCGGGCCGAGACACGAACTGCTGTTGCTCAAGGCTCGCACTCTTGAGCGAGCTCTTAACCAACTGAGACACTCGGCTGGCTCTTAAAGTACAAGTTATTTTTTAACATCAACTAATACTAGACATTTAAGTAGTTTTCAAATAATTACTACTATGAACATCGGGATAATAAGTATCCTTATATGTATTTTTGTCCTTATTGGAAATGTTTCTGAAGGATACTACCCTAGGAACAGAAAAGTTGGAACAAATGCAGAAACATTTAAATTTTAATAGATGCTGACAAATTGCCTTACAAAACGGGCTAATTTAAACTTCCACCTATAAAGTATGACATACCCAAGAATTTACTAGAGCCCATGATATATATTTAGTTCGATTTAAGAAAAATGAGGATCTATGAGTCATTCATTAAAAAACTGCTATAAATAATTCTGCCAATCACCAGCTCTGACCTCCAGAAACTTCTTATAAATGGAGCTTACATTTTCTGAATAAAACTCAGGACACATGGTCCACCAAATACAAGAGGCACATCCAGGCAGAGGGGAGACATGATCGAAACCTCAGCCAGAAGGCCCCTAAGGCTGTCAGGCTCAGTACAGAATGGCCACATCTCCTAGGTGACACAGGGAACCTGTACAGATGGGATGAAACTGCCCAGGGAAGCAGCTGTGCACCAGAGCCAGGTTCTGTGTGGACAACAGTCCTTTCCCAGCAGGTATCCTAAGAAGCCAACTCTTGGTCCTATTCACCCCCAAAGCACAGCTAAATAATAACAAAAACATCTGTTTTCTCGCCCCAATCCTCTCCCATTCCTTTCTCACTATTTTCTCTTGCCAGCAAAACCTATTGTGGATCAAACTGATTGTAGTATAAGGCGGATTTTTTCCCCCTGGCTATGCATTTTTATTTCCCTGGCTTATTCCCTCCCTCCATAAACTATCAAAACCTGAAGGTATTAATCTTCCTTTTTCAGATAAATCTCTTTGGAAAGGGCCTCATTGAGACTATGGTTCACTCTCTACAAGGGAATATCTGAAAGGCACAAAGTCAAGTTTGGTACTGCTTCTATAATATTAAAATTTATAACATATATTTGGTCTTAGTCCCTGTTCTTGGCAGAGCTCCTAAAACCCTTTTCCTAAATAATGAGAACCATGTATGCCCTACCCCTGTTCCATGGGGACAGAAGCTCCTGTGCTCAGAACCCTCCCAGACCTCACCCTATGTACTTCTTCATCTGGTTGCTTATGTGCATCCTTTATAATATCCTTTTATAATAAACTGGTAATCTAATAAGCAGAGTATTTTTGAGTTCTTTGAGCCGCTTAAGCAAATTAAACAAACCTGAGGAGGAGATCAGTAGCGTAACTGACAACCTGGACTTGTATGACTGGACTAAAAGTATTTAGGGGTGTGGTGGTGGGGAGAGTCTTGTAGGACTGAGCCCTTAACCTGTGGATCTGATGCTAACTCCAGATAGCTAGTGTCTGAACTCAGCAAACTGCTTGGTGGTATTAAAAAAATACACATCAGGGCCAGCTGAGTGGCGCAATGGTTAAGAACTGGCTTGGGACGCCAGGGGGCCCCGGTTCGGATCCCACATATGAAGGCCAGTGACACTGCCCTCCACAGCTAAGATGCTGAACAACAGCTCAACCTGGAACTGGGCTGCCGTGAGTCGCCGGCGACGGCGTAGGCTGCAGCCCCTGCTGCAGTGGATTGTCATGGGCTATCGTATGTAGCCAGCAGCCAGCGTGAGCAGCCAGCAGCCGCAGTGAGCGACCGCCCAGAAGCCGGCGACTGATCTGCCTCGCCCAGGAAGAGCGCAATGATGGTACTAACTTGGGCCAGTGAAGCAACGTCCTCCACAACTAGATTGAAGAACAAAAAACGACAGCAACTTGTCTGTTCCCCTTCCCCCAATTCCCCAGTACTGTTCCCATCCCCCAATTCCCCAATAAAAATCTTAAAAAACAAAACACACAACAGAGGGCTGGCCAACTGGCACGTTGGTTAAGAGCTGGGTTGGGACACCAGCTCTGAGCAGTGGGGCCCCGGTTTGGATCCCACATGGGGGCCAGTGACACTGCCCTCTATAGCTAAGATGGTGAACAACAGCTTGACCTGGAGCTGGGCTGCCGTAAGTCGTCGACGACGCTGTATGCTGCAGCCCCTGCTGCAGTGGGCTGCCATAAGCTACCATGTGTGGCCGGCAGCCAGCGTGAGCTGTTAAGAGCCGCAGTGAGCGGCCGTCCAGAGGCCGGCGACCGATCTGCCTCACCCGGGAAGAGCACAATAATAATACCAACATGGGCCAGTGAAGCAATGTCCTCTACAACTAGACTGAAGCACAAAAGGACAGCAACTTGTCTGTTCCCCTCCCCCAATTCCCCAATAAAATCTTTAAAAAAAAACACACCAAAAAACACACACATCAGAGATTCCTAATAACCACTCTAAATCTCTGGTTCTATATAATAGGGGCATGATGTGCAAAAATGTATTAAAATCTGAAAATTATAAGGAATTTTTACATCTCTGTACTATTTTAATCTTTGTGCATTACATTTTCAACCAGTTAAAGAGAAAACCATAGGCACAAAATGGCGACTCAGTTTAAAAGCCCATTATGCCAAACCTAGACTTATTATCTGACCTAATTGCTGTTTCAACCGTTCTCAGAAACACAATTTGAATCAACCAGTTTGGAATTTTCTGGTCAACACCAATAAAGTAACCTGTTACCTGGGCTCTTTCCATCCCTCCCCATCCCCTTAGAAAGAAGAGGCAATCTGCATGATAAAAAAACCTTGCTATTCACCCCTCCACCCTCTAACCCCCAAAGATGTCCTGGTCTAAAAATGATCCTTCCTTTTCTTCCCCTAATAGCTCCCTTGCCCCACCCTTCTTCCTACAGAAACCTGCCATTTTGTACAACCCCCAAGCCCCCTTCTAGTTGTTAGACGGGATGTGCCCGCTTAATAAGCCAATTAGACCTTCAAATTAACTTGGCTGAGTTTTGTTCTTTAACAGATTAGAAATGAAAAAACAAATAAACAACCCCCCCACCCTGCAAAGTCTTTTAGAGGTTATTTTTCTGATTGTCTAATGCTTTCTGAAAAACTTCTATTTTTACTCCAAAAAGAAATATCAATTTCATTTTTTTCCCCAAAACATGTCAAAATTATCTTATCCATACCAGTCGTAAGTAACCAGGCTCATACTTACCTTTAATTGTCACATATTGCATATCTGGATTAACACACAGGGCAAGGTTACTAGGTAGGGTCCAGGGAGTAGTTGTCCAAGCAACCAAAGATGTATTTTCATCTTCCTCCAAAGGGAAAGTTACAAATACTGAAGGATCTTGAACATCCTGAAATAAAATGAGGTAAGTATTCTTTTACAAAATGCATAATAGACATAGAAGAAAAAGGGATTAGTCCTAAAGAATAAATCAAATTTCAGAATAAACAGCCTTTAAAAAACCATTTGCCATATTTATAAAAATAAAATACAAAACAAGAAATATTTTTTAATGTACTTTAAAAGTTTTAACAATTACTTTAATACAATTACGCACTGCACAACAACATTTTGGTCAGTGGACCTTGTGTATAGGGGTGATCCCATAAGATTATAATGGAGCTGAAAGATTCCTATCAGTTGGTGATGTGATACCCTTCCTAAGGTAGTCATACCCCTTCCTACGGTAGTAAGGCAAAACTTTACACAAGTACTTAGCATTGTGTTATAGTTGCCTACAGTATTTTAGTACAGTAACATGCTGTACAGGTTTGTAGCCTAGAGCTGTAGGAGAACAGAATTTGTCATCCCCAAATATATCTATTTGGCATAGGGATTATTTTAGGCTGGTTAATTTTGAGAAACAGCAGACATGGGAGAAGCTCTGAAAACCAAGTAGAAGTTGCCCTTTGTAAAAGACATTTATATTTATAAGAGAAATCTCCATTTGTAAGGATGTTGCCGCCTCTCCCTGTACCAGGCAGGGGAAGGCCTTATGTATAAAAACTCTTATCCACACAGTAGACAATTATGTAAATCTGCAGAACAACCTTATAGTTATTTACTGCGCTTTTCCTGGTCACCTACCATAAGTGACTGCTCCCAATATCTTTTGTCTTTAGTTGAAGATGGTATTTAAGGTGGTGGCTTCAGCTATTTTGGCAGGATACTTGGTTTTCCTGGATCTCTCTCATGTATATAGGAGAGATACGTATTATTAAACAAAAGTTTTCCTCCTGTTAATTTGTCTTTTATTACAAGGATGTCTTAGCCAAGAACCAAGAAGGGTAGAGGAAAATTATTTTTCCTCCCCTTGAGAGCAACAGACTGCACCATACAACCTAGATGTGTAGTAGGCTATATCATCTAGGTTTGTGAAAGTGCACAAAGATAAATTTGCCTAAAAGATCCTTACACAAAACATGACTGTAGTCACAAATAAAACATTGTAAGCGTATCAAGAAAGATAATGTCTTTTTCAATGATCGCTATTTCAATGATCTATTTTACAAGTCCAGAAAGAGGTAGGTCAACAACATAACTGTTTTGCAAAATAGTTATCTTTATTCCAAAAGTCACTTTGAAACACCATATACTTGAAATTGCAATATGCCAAAATTGTAACAGGGTGAAATGCTTGGCCTCTCTGACTCCATCTTGTTCATGCCTGCTTTGTTCCCATGGCCTTCAGGCTAATACCTTCTGCTTAGTCTTGCATATAGACATGCTAATCATCAGTGGAATTCTGCTTGTGGCTTGAGTTTTATAAAAACAGCCCCTTATAGGAAACTATCTCTCCAGGGGAGAAAAGGGACGTATGTACAAAAATAATGATTGTTTATCAAAGATTTGACCTGCTTCACATCAACTGGAATCAACAGACTAAGAACAAAGAAGTTTCACATTCTTCCTAGGACTCCTGCTGGCACCCAGGTGTCTGTGGTTGTCAGTCACCTTCCTTTTACTCCTCTTCCTGCCCCATCCCTTGACTTAAAAGAAAGATGAATGCTGTATTTTCTTAAGATAGTTCTTTAGGACTCTAGTCAGCCATCTTCTTGGCTTGCTGGCTTTCCGAATAAGTAGCTTTCCTTGCCCCAACCCCTTTTCACTGGACTCATTGGCTATTGTGTGGCAAGCAGTACGAGCTTGGACTCGGTTACAATATTACGTAATTCAGCTCATTCATTTAAGAGAAAAAAAAAAAAACCTTAGTGGCAACAAATACACAATCAGAGAATGGCTAAAGTGAAAAAAGAAAATGCTAAGTTTTGGCAGGATGCAGAGTAATCAAAACTGTCTAGTGGGAGTATAAATCAGTATAACCATTTTGGAGCACTCTGTTAAAGTGGGGAGTAGCAAACTACAGCTTACAAGCCAAATCTGGCTGCCATCTGTTTTCACACAACCCAAGAGGTAAGAATAGTTTTGGCAGCAATGAGTACTTGAGACAGAGACCATCTGGCTCACAAAGCCTAAAATATTTACTATCTGGGACTTCACGGAGTTTGACAACTCCTACACTGGAGCTAAATGTAAGTGTAACCCTATGATTCAGTGATTTCACTCCTGTGTATGTATCCAACAGAAATGTGTGTATTATTTACTCCCAAAAAGACAAGTTCTAGAATGTTCACAGTAGCACTATTGATAAGAATCACAAACTGAGAATTACCCAAATGCCCATCAATAGTGGGATAAAATACTACACTAGACAGTATTTAAAATGGTGATCTATAAAACACAACGTGGATGACTTACACAAACATAATCTTGAGTGAGAAGCCAGACACAAAAAGAGCACAGTGTATGATTTCATTTATGTATATTGTAGTTTAGAATCAGCAAATGAATCAACGCTGTTGGAAGTGGGGGTGAGGGGTGTGCGGCTAACCTGAAGGGACCATGAGAGGGGAGAGCTTTAGATAGCTCAATAAGGTTCTTTCTGTATTTTATCTGGGTATTGGCATCACAGATGTAGTCACTTTGTGCAAGTAAATAGAGTAGAGCAAGTAAATGAAAGAGCAGAAAAATGTTGCATTATTATTAAACCAGGCAATGGGTACTAAGATGTAAAGCATTCATGTTACGATGTACAGTAATGAATATTAAAAAATTAAAATAGGACCGGCCGAGTGGCACGTTGGTTAAAGAGCTGGCTTGGGACGCCAAAGGGCCCTGGTTCGGATCTCACATGAGGGCCAGTGACAATGCCCTCTACAGCTAAGATGCTGAACAACAGCTCAACCTGGAGCTGGGCTGCCGTGAGTCGCCTGCGATGGCGTAGGCTGTAGCCCCTGCTGCAGTGGGCTGCCATGGGCTACCGTGTGTAGCCAGCAGCCAGCGTGAGCGGCCAGTAGCCACAGTGAGCGGCCGTCTAGAAGCCGGCGACTGATATGCCTCACCCGGGAAGAGCGCAATGATGGTGCCAACTTGGGCCAGTGAAGCAACGTCCTCCACAACTAGACTGAGGAACAGAAAAGGACAGCAACTTGTCTGTTCCCCTTCCCTGATTCCCCAACACTGTTCCCCTCCCCCAATTCCCCAATAAAATCTTTAAAAAAAAAAATTAAAATAAAAAACCTCTCAAGGGAAACCTAAATAAAGTATTAATAATGATTGCCTTTAGATACTGGGATTATAATTTCTTTCTCTTCCCTTATACCTTTCAATGGTTTCCAAATTTTCCACAATGAGCATGAACTTCATAAATAATCAAATCAAGCAGACTTCTAAAAACTAAAAATTTAGACAATATAACAAATAAATATTTTTATATACTACAAGCTGTTTTACAGTTGGAATAACTTTCTCCTATAACTCAATTTACTTTTGCACTGCTTGCTCTCTCCCAATAAGAGAATATAATCTTTGAAAATTCTAGGAGCTCACAAGCTATTATTAGGGTCTAATGTGTAGAACTTTAACTGCCAACGGAAACACTAGCATAAGTACACAAGAATTTATATTAAAAAATGTTCAGGGCAAAATTGTTTGTTACCATTAAAATAAGAAGTTATGCCCCTTCAAAATAACTGAAATGTTTATCAAAAGAATGAAAAAATAAACTGTAATCTATTTGTTATGTGAAATACTATACTGTAGTTAAAAATAAACTTAAAGCTACATGTATCAAGATGAAGAATCTTTAAAACATAATGTGTAGTACAAAAGACAAAGTATAAAATTAGTACAGTAGGTAAGATTTAAAAACACGCAGAACAGTGCTTATACTTATGTAGATAGTAAAAGTATAAAAACATCCATAGGAAAGAAACACTGAATTCAGCATAGCGGTTACCTATCAGAATGTATGGAAGGAAATGGAAAAGACAAAGGCGCTATAAATAAATAAATTGTGGTACATTCACCTACACAGAAATTAGAACAAAAGATCCATAACTACACATGACATAGATCACCGTCAAAAACATAATGTTGAGTGAGAACAGCTAGGTTCAAAAGAATACACAGTGGATCTTTCCATTTCTATGAAGTACAAAAGCAGGTCAAACTAATCAACTGTTATCTGTACTATTTGATGTTTTTTAAAAAACATGCCTTTATTGGAACCCATCAAATGGTACACAAGATTTGCACATTTAATTGATTATAAATTTTAACCACCTTCCCTTCACCACCCCTCCACTCCAAACCATAAACAAACACTGACCTCTATTAATGACATACATGAAGAAGGAAAAAAACAACCACAAAAATGAAGTACCGATTTCTATAAAATACAGAGGACAGAGAAAATGTTAAATTAGGCCATGGAGAAGTAATCAGGAAAATTCATAGTTTGGAAAACCCTACAAGACAACAAAACCTGTCCCATAAAAAGTAATTTTCGGGCCGGCCGAGTGGCGCGATGGTTAAGAACTGGCTTGGGATGCCAGAGAGCCCCGGTTCGGATCCCACATATGAGGGCTAGTTACACTGCCCTCCACAGCTAAGATGCTGAACAACAGCTCAACCTGGAGCTGGGCTGCCTTGAGTCGCCGGCGACGGCATAGGCTGCAGCCCCTGTGGCAGTGGGTTGCCATGGGCTACCGTGTGTAGCCAGCAGCCAGTGTGAGCGGCCAGCAGCCGCAGTGAGCGGCCATCCAGAGGCTGGCACTGATCTGCCTCACCCGGGAAGAGCACAATGATGGTGCCAACTTGGGCCAGTGAAGCAATGTCCTCCACAACTAGACTGAAGAACAAAACAACAGCAACTTGTCTGTTCCCCTTCCCCCAATTCCCCAGCACTGTTCCCATCCCCACAATTCCCCAATTTAAAAAAAAAAGTAATTTTCAAGGGGAAAAACAAACAAACAAGAACCAAAAAACAAAGGAAAAGATAGAAAGAAAAGGAGACCTACAGATTAAGACAGACCAAAAAGGCAGTTATTATCATGGATGAACATTCCTTAGATCCTGATATAAACAAACACACCCAAAAAACTAGAAATAACAGAGGGACAAAAGACATCATATTTATGAGATAAACACAAATGTGGACATTGATGGTATCTAGAAATAAAATAATTATAAAGTATTTAATACTAAGGATGATTGATGATTATTTTTTTAGGTGTGATAATGGTATTATAGTGATGTTAAAAAAAGATAGTGCTTAGTATAAGATTCTCTACATTTATATGTACTTAAAATATTTTCTTAAACAAATATAACACCACATGAGCACTGACATAGAAGAGTATTTAGACCACAGGAGCCACCATGCCCACCTCATAAGGATTCGCAGAGATCTAATGGGATGCCTGAAAGCATTCCATATAATGAAAAGTGCTTTTGGAATGCAAGTTTTAATAATTTAATTTCCAAAGTGAGCCATGAAATAAGAATTCCAAAAAAATCAATGTCCTTTAAAAACAGAGAGGGTTACAGAAACTCAGAAATGAAAACACCTCTTACATATACAAACATGAGAACAGATAGCTCACAGATAGTTTCAGACTTACTGCCTTCACTATCTGTCTAGATAAGGTAAAGCAGGGTACTTGTAAACATCAGACATGTCTAAACTCTTCCATCATACCTGAGAGAAGGATATTCCATTCATCAGAGAAAAGATCATTACTGTGTACTGATCCCAAATCAGAATTTTTTCCAAATACCTTTAACACATAAATAAACTATGAGGTCCCAGATGAGGCATAACAATCACCCAAACCAACAACCCCTGTGAAACAGAAACTAGAGGTAAACAGGGCAGAGCTGCACTTGTTAACCAAAGAGAGACACAAAAATATGGTCAAAACAAGCACAACCTATTATATTAAGACACATCACTCGCAAATCTCATGGGGGAAAATCCCTCGTTTTTAATCTTAACAGAGCCTTGGTTCAGCGACTGGCGACATTAGCAGCACTCATAAGAAATGACCAAACTGTCAAGGCTCCCCAGTCTGACGTCCCACCTCTGGAGAAGTGACTTTGGTCACCACCGTCACCTAACTTCCACGTATGTAACTCAAGTCCCAATGATGCTATACACACCTTGTAATTCTGGTGAGATTCGAAATTGGAAAGTGGAGTGTTGCACGCCGTAGAGAAAGGCATGACTTTCACACCTCTATAAATAAGGCCTTTATCATAGAGTTGCTTGAAGACCCACCTAGCAAATAAAGAGACAAAGTTTTACAATGATTATAAACCAAAATTCTGTTTCCCCAAATGCAAATATTTATGCTGGTTTCTGTTTATAGTTTGTGTAAACCAAAGAGGTGAAAACACAATGTCTCTCAACTGAAGACTACCTGGTAAATTACAACAGATCAGTATAATTAGACATTTATGTAGACATAGAAGTGCTAATATCTGTTGACATGGAAAGATGTTCATGATTTAATGTTGACTGAAAAAGTTAACTGACACCATATTGTACAATAATGTAAATTACTGTACAATTATGTAAAACTGTGGATATGAGTATACATATTTACATTTTTTTTAGGAATGATAAAAAATAGATTTTCACTAATATCTTAACTATGGCTGGAATTTCAGTTTCTGTTTTTCTTAGTAGTTTTCTGGTATATTGTTTAAATTTCACTATAATGGGTAGCTTTACAAAACAACTTAAAAAGTATAAACCACTGAGAGTAGAACCAGGGATCTCTCCTACAGCTACTCAAAAACTTTTACTGAATATACATGTTGCTTTAAGCTCACTGTACCAAGGCACTGCAAATGTCAATAACAGTCATCCCAGGTTCTCCCGTGGTGACTACTCACTTCTCCTAACTGGATGCCAGAATGCACAGGTGCCATTTTAAAATTAATTTTTTTATAGTCCAAGTCCTATGTGCCTGTCACAATAAATGCATTAAACTTTCTCCCCTTTGCTAAAATAGATTTTTGTGAAAACTGCATATTTTTCCATGCTATTCCTTTGGCTTTAAATAAAGCTTAAAAAGTGATGTTTTATAACACATTTCCCAAGTTTAAACTCGATCTTAAATTATATACTTTGATGCAAGAACATTCATCGGGAACTAGAGGAAGAGTGTTAGATTTGATATCATAACACCCAGTTTTCAAGCCTAAGAGCCATAAAATTAGCTGTGTAATCTCAGGCAAGTCACAGTCACTTGCCTTCTCCCTAAACAGGTTCCTAACCCAATCCACAGGACTGTCTGGATCTAGGAAAATTCATGAGGAACTCCTTCACATACTCAAAAGCATCAACTCAATCTAAACTGTCACCATTACTAATGCTGGCATCTGCTACTATGTAGTAAAGGTAGCTCCTACTATTTTTTATATTCACCCTAGGTCTATGTGTCTTATTTAAATACCAACATGTTCCTTCCTCAGGAATATTAACAAACTAATACCAAGCATCTTTAGAAACTGTTTTCCCAATTCAAGTATGTTTTGTGTAAGTTAAGAAGTATGATGCACAGCTGTATTTCCCAACATGCAGGTACTTGCCACAGGTGCTCATTTAAATTTAGATTCATTAGCATTAGAAATTCACTTTCTCGGGCTGGCCGAGTGGCTCAGTTGGTTAAGAGCTCACTCAAGAGTTTGAGCTCTGAGCAACAGCGGTTCGAGTCCAGCCCGAGCTGAGCAGCCGCTGAGCTGCCAACAGGTAGCAGGATGGCTCAGCTAAAAAAAAAAAAAAAAAAAATTCACTTTCTCAAGTGCAGTAGCCACATTTAAGTGCTCAACAGCTTTGATCTAGAGCCAGGGGTCGGCAAACAGCGGCTCGCAAGCCACATGAGGCTCTTTGGTTTGGTCTCAAACATTTGCTGACCCCTGTAAGAACCAATTCTGTCCCTCATAACAATTTAAAAATTATTTGAGAGCCATAAATATATTTTTACATAATCACCATTATGTGAATAATATCCTGTAAAAATTTTATGAATGAAGCTATGATAGTTTTATTTTCATTTTCAATTTTACTTCAGAGCCACAGTTTGTGAGCCGCAGTTTGCTGACTCCTGGTGGCTCTTCCATCTCAAAAGTTTGCCTACCCCGATCTAGACCATAAATAGTACATTGTTTTTCGGATGTTTAACACAAATCCTGGTGCTGAGATGCTCTAACCCTGAGAACTCCAACTGCTCAGTGAATGGGAAGCCCCCGGGCCCAAGTCCCTGGCATGTCAAACAATCTGATCAGCTTCTACCCTTGGGTCCATGGGTCTGGTGATAACGTGCACAGGGGCACATCAGAGCCAAAGGGTCCGAGAACTGTCCCCAGGTATGCAGCTCCTCAAAAGCAAAGAACATGTGCCAGCTGGTGCACCAGATGCCAACTAACAAATGTGAGCAGGCGGACAGGAAGGCAGAAGGAGCCACAGCACCTACCATACAGTGTAATGAAAGTGCATCCTACGAAAGACCTTTGCAACTCCCCTGGAATTACACATAGTTCAATAAAAGCAGGACCTCCTCAAGGCCTGAGTTATGTACAGAGAACATTTTACAACCATAATAATGGTGCCTGCTTACCCACTAATGAGATGTAGTGATTCTCACACTATAGTAGGAGGCTCAAATTAAATCACCTATGAAGACTGGCACTGCAACAGTTGTCTTATAATAGTGAAAAGAAGAAAAATCCATTTGAAACTTATGGAATAATGACCACACTATACACCTTTCTCTCAGTATAAAATTCAAGTACACAATCTCTTAGACTTAATTCTTTAAAAAACAAACTTCTGAAACCCACATTTCCCTAAATTTTCTTATCAATCCATTTGGCAAAAAACAAAACAAAACTTTAAATGATATCAGGTCATTTATGTTCTTTATTCTACTTAGTGTGAAAAACTGTATGTTCTGATGCAGAAATACTAATGTATTTGATTACAGGTTGCTGCTCAATCTTCTGGAGCCATTATATACAACAGAATTATATGCATATCTTATTACCTATCTAGAATCTAAAATTTACTGAATTAAAAAAACAATCGCTGTATGACACTAGAATGATGGATATGTCATTACACATTTGCCCCAAGTCATAGAATGTACAAGAGTGAACCCTAAAGTAAACTATGGACTTTGGGCGACTATAATGTATCAATGAAGGTTCAGTTGTAACAAATGTCCCATCTGGTTGGGATATTGACAGTGGGGGAGGCTGTGCGTCATGGGGGCACAGGGCATATGGGAAATCTCTGTACCTTCCTCTCAATTTTGCTGTGAACCTAAAAATGCTCTATAAAAATAAAGTCTTTAAGTCTTTAAAAACAAGACCAAACATATCCATCCCCAAAGATTTCAGATAAATAATTATGGACCTGAAAACTGATTCATGCTACAGAATCTCTTCACTAATATAACAGAATATTTATCATATTTATAATTTCAAATAAACCTACCAGACAGATTCCATGAATTGAGGATACAGAGTTTTATAGTCATTGTCAAAGTCAATCCATCGACCAAGTCTGGTAACAGTAGACTTAAAAATATAAATATTAGAGTTATTAGAGAATGATATTTGTTATTGTACATCAATGTGTTTTACTTCTATTATCACCACATACAATGATTTTGAGAAAACAGAACAATCAATGGTTCAAGTAAATCTATATTACAATCAACACACTAAGTAAGGTTAAGAACTAGTTTGTCTTTTTTTTGTGGCATTCATCCTATATGCAAATAATGTTATTTACAAGTATTAATATTCCTTTATAAAAATCTACCAAAACTGCCATTTGGAAAACACCACAGGTATAACTGCTGTTAGCACAAATTATCAACAGATGTTAAAATCACTGAGTTAAAGTATAAAAAAAAACAGGTTATTTGCAAAGAATCTTCCCACAGGATACTTCTTAAATACAAAGGAAAAACTTCAACTTTACAATGAAGAAACCTGACAGTGGTCACACCTTAGTAAGCAAAGTTAACATCACCAATGAGACATATCAGCATTATTAGCCTCTTGATATGATAGACTTAGAAGGGCATGTCACTTCTGAAACATTCTTTTCAAAAATGCAAAACCTATACTGAATCATGAGGAAATATCAGATACTGAGGGACTTTCTACAAAATAACTGGTCTGTATGTACTCTTTAAAAGTGATAAGGTCATAAATGACAAAGAAAGACTAAGGGAATGTTCCAGATTAAAGGAAACTATGAAGGTATGACAACTAAATACAATGTGTGCTTCTAAACTGGATCTTGGTTCAAAAATAAAATTAGTGGGACAACTGGTTAAATTTGAATAAGGTATAAAGTATTGTATCAATGTTAATTTCCTGCTTTTGATAATTATACTATGGCTATTGAAGGTGTTAGCTGGGAAGCGGGTGAAGGGTTTAGAAGAACTCCAGACTACTTTTGCAATTTTTAATAAATCTAAATTATTTCAAAATGAAAATTTAAAAAATTATTTTGAAGGAAAAAAAAAGGCCCACAAGCATATTATAATCATCAAGATTTTCCCCTACTGGTGACCACTTAAGAAAGTTAGATTAAAGAAAGTTAGGTTAGGAGAAAATTGAGAAGCTTTGATTTTCAGGTTGATAAAGTAAAATTTTATTCACCAACCAAGAGAAGCTACTCAATGTTTTGAGCAGGAAAGAGCTAGATGCACAGAGTCTTGTGGGAGAGATAACTTAGCAGGCTGAGTGGAAAGAACATGAGCAAGAGACCAATTAGAGGAGACTGTTAGAGAAATAGAGACAATGGTGGGAGAGAGGCTAGGGAAAGGTTGGAGGAATGAAAATAAATGACTAGATAAGAGATATTAAGAAGAAAGACCTGGCACGATCTGGTATTTGATTTGATCATGAGGAATACTGTTTGAAGCCTGGAAGACTGAAACCATTGGCAGAACTGGGAATTCTGAAGGACAGTAAGTTCAAGAAGCCAAAGTGGAAACACAGAGAAGATGAAAAAAACAAAAGCCAGACATGTCTTTCAGTTGCACAGACATACTAATCAATCTAGGAGCCTGGGAGGAAAATAAGGAGTTGAGGACCTTTGTTTCTAAAGAACAAGAGAGCTCTGACAGCACTTGACAGTTACTTAAAAGGTACCAGCTGTGGGAGCTCTACTACTAAGAGAAGTGGGCAAGGTAGGAGTCAAATTAATATAACAGTGTGTCCAAATTTGAATTAATTTGAATGTCTGAATTTTTTTATTACAATGTTTAAGTTACTCTATTAGCTAGGACAGCCTGAGTCCTATCATATACTGTAAGTAGGTAGAAGATTAAATATGGAAGACTAATCAAGCACACAGAAATAAGAGAGGCTTCAGTTTAAGCTATAGTCTAATAGGGTTGGAGATGGAGGCTAAACACTCCTTTAAAAGGATGGTCGGCCCTCTTATTTAACAGCCTTACATGGACAGCTATACTTTGAGAGCATAATAAGCAAAAGGGCCATAAACTATTTCAACTCCCATTTAAACTTAAAACTCTTGTTCAGTCTACTGAAAATAACTCAACATACCTTCCACTCAGTAGAATATCTCATCACAATTGCTCGGCATTGATTGTTATACTCCACAATCCCCATTTTGGTTACATCCTCTGGTCCTCTGATTCCCAGAGTCTTATCAATTTCATATTCCTGAAAATTTACGGTAAGATTGTTAACAACCCTGACCTATGAAACAAGTGCAATTCAGCAGCTCTAGCAAATAAAACAGATTTAAATAAATTAGTTTTCAGAAAATCTACAGAGAAAATGAACTATAAATAGTATTATAGAAATGAAGTAGAAGAAAAGGTTTGTTATAGTAAAAGTTCATCATACTTTAACACATTATATGATGAAATTGAATGCTTAAAAAATCAAAACATCACAAGGCTGGTGACTCAAACATACCACAGGTAAGCCATGACAATCCCATCCAAATCTTCTGTCAACGTGAAACCCACTCTGGTGAGCATATCTTGTAACAATGTCTTTAATTGTCCCTGCAAGTATATGTCCATAGTGAGGCAGTCCAGTTGCAAAAGGAGGGCCATCATAGAAGGTAAATCTGACAGAAGTAATAAAAATGTTAAGCTACTTTAAAATAGACAGCAAAAATTTAGGACAACATTTTTCAATAGATGGCTCCTGTGACAGTGGAGTCTTCAGGGAGAAGAAAAGCAGTGAGACCAGGAAATTCAGATATAACTCATTAGGTATTTACTAGCGGTCTACAGCTAAGCTGGAGAGACCTCCATTGGGCCATCCATTCTTCAGTTATACTTTTTTTTTTTTTTTTTAAGCTGAGCCATCCTGTCACCGGTTGGCAGCTCAGCGGCTGCTCAGCTTGGGCCAGGAATCAAACTGCTGTTGTTCAGAGCTCAAGCTCTTGAGTGAGCTCTTAACCAACTGAGCCACTCGGCCGGCCCTCATTCTTCATTTATTATCAATAGTACCACGACACAATCCAAGTTATTCATACTGATGTTGAATGAAGTTATTCATCAGGAAAATGAGGCAATAAGTGCCTATCTCATAAAGTTTTTGAGCACATGAGATGCATGATAAAAACAGTAATTAAAGGAGGGACTGGTCTTTAGGTGAATGGAGACTAGAGATAGGAATTAACCTAATAGGAGGCTACTACTGTGTTTCCCTGTAGGTCTTATATTAATTTTTGCTCCAACAATCAACATTTATTCATTTATTCATGTACAAAAATCTACATTTATTCAAACAGTGATGTCTGGCTGATGATCTTAACTGGGGCTTATGTTTGGGATAGGGCTTATATTACAAGCATCCTGAAAAATCATGCTAGGTCTTATTTTCCAGTTGGGTCTTATTTTCAGGGAAACATGGTAGTAGTCTAAATACTTTAATGAGGTTGGTGATAATGAGAAAAGTGGAAAGAGGGTGACATATAAACTCTATTCAACAACAAGTCCAAATCTGAATTGTTTTAGAACATCAGAATTTGATTAGAACATTTAAGTTAATCTATTCAGAAGAACTCTTAAAGAAACTGAATCTACCCTAATAATTAAGAACTCACTCATTTAATGTACACGGTGTGATAACAAAATACGGTGAATGTTTAAATTAAAGTACATTTATTACATGAAAACACGCATTGCCATTAATCCCCCTCAAAATACTCCCCCTCGCTTTAAACACACTTATCCCATCATTCTTACCACTTTCTGAAGCTGTTCGGGAAGTTCTCTTTTGTGAGTGTCTTTAGTTGCGCTGTCATGGCTGCCTCAATGTCCTCAATCATTTTCACTTTGAGGAAGAGCCAGAAATCGCACGGTACCAGATGCGGTGAATAAGGTGGATGAGGACACACTGTAATGTTTTTATTTGACAGAAACTGCCATATACCAGAAATGAGGTGTGGCACGGAGTGTTGTCATGATGGAGGATGATTTAGGGCACACTTTAAAACACACCTTCTGTCAATTGTAGCTCACACCTGACTGACTGCACCAAACAAGATGAAACTTGTCACACACTGTTACTAAGGTTCGACGTGCCACTTCCCATACTGAAGATCCCTGCCTTTTTGTTGGATGACACTCAGCAGCAGCAGTCCCCATATTTTGTGATCACAATGGAAAGACTCCGTGTCACACATCGCTTCTGGTATAGCAATTTCTGTTAAATAAAAATATTACAGTGTGTCCTCATCCACCTTATTCACTGGATCTGGCACCGTGTGACTTCTGGCTCTTCCCCAAAGTCAAAGTGACCATGAAAGGTAAACATTTTGAATCAATTCAGTATGAGGCAGCTATGACAGCACAACTAAAGACACTTACTTCAAGAACTGCTTCAGAAAGTGGCAAGAACGATGGGATAAGTGTGTTTGAAGCAAGGGGGAGTATTTTAAGGGGGATTAATGGCAATGTGTCTTTTACTGTAATAAATTTTTTTAAAAAAATTTAAACATTCAGGGCTGGCTAGGTGGCTCAGTTAGTTAGAGCGCGAGCGCTGAGCAGCAGGGTTGCTGGTTTGATTCCTGCATGGGATGGTGGGCTGCGCCCCAGGCTCCCACCCCCGCAACTAAGATTGAAAATGGCACCTTGAGCTGGGCAGCCATGAGCTGCCGACAGGCGGCTGGATGACTCAGTTGGTTAGAATGCATGCTCTTAGCAATAAGATTGCCGGTTTGACTCCTGCTTGGGATGGTGGGCTGCGCCCCCCGCAACAAGATGGAAAATGGCGACTGGACTTGGAACTAAGCTGCGCCGTTCACAACTAAGATCGAAGGACAACAACTTGACTTGGAGCTGATGGGTCCTAGAAAAACACAATGTTCCCCTTCCTCAATTCCCCAATAAAATCTTTACCAAAAAAAAAAAAGAAATTTAAACATTCAGGTGCAGCTGGTTGGCTCAGGTGATTAGTGTGGGCTCATAACACCAAGGTTGCTGGTTCGATTCCCACATGGGACAGTGAGCTGCACTCTCCACAACTAGATTGAAGACAACAGCTTCACTTGGAGCTGAGCTGCCAGTGGGTGGGCAGTTGGCTCAGTTGGTTAAAGCATGTTGCTTGTAATGCCAAGGTTGCTAGTTTGATTCCCACATGGGCCAGTGGCTGTGTCCTCCATAACTAGGTTGAAAACAATGACTTGCCTTGGAGCTCAGCTGCACCCTCCACAACTAGACTGAAAACCACGACTTGACTTGGAGCTGATTGGTTCTGGAAGAACACACTGTTCCCCAATAAAAAAAAATTTTAAACATTCACTGTATTGTTTAATCACACCATGTATACCTACTACTGAGAATATCCACTATATAAAGAGCTAGGAGACTCTGGGAATACAAAGATGAATAAAAAGTTCCTGCCTTAATGGAACACAGTCTAAGAAATTACTATTCTTAAGGACTCTACCTTTACCAAAGAAATTCACATACCTAGGCCTATGTTTTGATTGCTTTATGCATTCTTGAAAACAGTTAAATTTGAACCAGAACTGCAAGGTTTTCTCTTCTTCGGCAGGAAAATTGATGTTTTCTGGAACTTGTTGAACCATTATGCTGCTGCAAGAGAAATAAAATTTATTATTCTCAAAAAAGAAGTCTACAAATAACAGAGTACCACATATTAAAATGACTGTACATATTACTATGTATAATACTACATGGTACTTTAAAAATAATTACAGTTTTTTTTGAGGTAAAGTTCACATACCATAAAGTTCACCTTTATAAAGTGTACAATTCCATGGCTTTTAAAAAGTATTTTCACAAGTGTGTGTGACCATTACCATGTTCTAATTCCTGAACACTTTCATCACTGCTCCCTCCCTGCCCTCTGAAAACTTATACTCCCTTCTTCCCAATCCCTCTGACAACCATAAATTTGCTTTCTGCTTCTATAGATTTTCCTATTCTGTACATTACATATAAATGGAATCATGTATTTACAGCCTATTTTGTCTGGCTTCTTTTGCTTAGAATTATGTTTTCAAGGTTCATCCATGTTGCAATATGTATACATACCTCATTATTTTTGATGACTGAATAATATTTAATTGTATGGATATATCATAGTTTGTTTATCCATTCATCAGTTCATGAACAATAGGACTGTTTCCACTTTTTGACTATTATGAATGATGCTGCTATGACTACTGATGCATAAGTTTTTGTGTGGACACATATTTTCAGTTTTCTTGGGTACATATCTAGGAGTGAAATTGCTGGGTCATATGGTAACTCTGTAATTAACTTTTTAAGAAACTGCCAAAATGTTTTCCAAAGCTGCTGCATCATTTTACAATCTTCCAGCAGTCAATGAGGATTCCAGTTTCTCTAAGTCCTCATGCCTTATCATCCATTATTGGATTATAGGAAATCCTAGTAGGTAGGAAGTGGTATCTCAATGCGGTTTTGATTTGCATTTCCCTAATCATTAGTGATGTTGAGCATGTGCTTATTGGTCACTTTTGTATCTTCTTAGAGAACTGTCTATCCCTCCTTTGCCCAATGTTTAACTGGGTTGTCTCTTTATTGTTGAGTTGTAAGAGTTCTTTATATATTCCAGACACAAGCCCCTGATTATCAGTTTCATAATTTGCAAAAATTTTCACCCATTCTGTGGGTTGTATTTTTATATTCTTCATGGTATTCTCTGAAGCACATACATTTTTAATTTTGGTTGAAGTCCAGTTTATCTATTTTTTGTCTTGTTACTTGAGCTTTTGATCTAAGAAACCATTACCTAAAACAAGGTTGTGAATTCTTCTCTTGTATTTAGCTCATTGATCCATTTTGAGTTATTTTTATAAACAGTGTAAAATAGGAATATATGCTATTTTTTAAATTGTTGCAAAAGTTGTGTCCAAATCATACTCTTCACCTATTTTTCAACTGTGGTATAATATTTTGTGATTGTAGACAATATACTTTTAAAAGTAAACAAGAAAATCTTGGGAATTCTATCAAATCACAATAAAAATAAAAAATAATAATCTGAAAAAAAAATATCTCAAAGTAGGTAAGATTTCATAACTACAATCACAGGACAGAAAGCACTTCTGTTGAAATAACCTCATTTTGTTAGCGTCAATAACAACAACTTGTTATTGAGGAATAATAAGTAAGGTCTAAAAAAAACTGAAGTTCAAAAGATGAGGCTCTCACATTCAAATAATTCCTAGCTCATTCCAATTTTCAATTTTATCCCTTTTATTGCTTATTCATGGTTTTTGGAAATGACAAACCCTATACTTCTCTGATTTAGTCACTAGTGAAAGAGGTCTTAAAATGTCCTTTTAAGAGTTTTACCTCATGTAGAAACACTTGCCTAATCCATGGCTTAACTACCTAGTGAGCATTCTGAAGCCCATTCCTCTTCAAAGCTTAGTCTCTCCTTTTCTTTCCTTTATTTCTGAGATGTGAGAGTGCTGTTAAGTTTTTACATAGGAAAAAAATAACAAAAGAACAGGTGGGCCATTTAATTAACTCAACTATCCATTTCTGATTAGAATGTGCCATTAAATGGTACTAAATAAAGGGCCGGTGCGTTGGTTAAGAGCTGAGCAGCAGGGCCCCGGTTCGGATCCCACATTAGGGCCAGTGACGCTGCACCCTCTACAGCTAAGATGGTGAAAAACAGCTCGACCTGCAGCTGGGCTGCTAGGCTGCAGTGGGGCTGGCCAGCAGAGGGCATGAGCTTTCGTGAGCTACTGTGAGCCGTCCGTCCAATGGCTAGCGAGTGACTGCGTCACCCGGGAAGAGCGCAATAATACCAACATGGGCCAGTGAAGCGGTGTCCTCCACAACTAGACTGAAGAACAAAAGGACAGCAACTTGTCTGTTCCCCTTCCCCGATTACCCAACGTTGTTCCCCTTCCCCAATAAAATCTTTGAAAAAAAAATTAAAAGGTACTAAATAGAAGTTGAAAGCATTTTGGATCTTCAGCTCTTTTTACAGCCTTTTGAGAACAGAAAGAGGTATTAGTTTGTGCATTTACTGATTTATTAGATCCTACTGGTTTAGTGGCTACCTTATTACAGACCAACAGAAACAAGGGATCTCACTGGAAGACTAGTAGATGTTTAGATATGAACACATTTACTTCTGTTACCTCTATTGCTCCTTAAGGTTGGTCCGATGATTACCAGGACCTATGGGAGCTATTAGAGTAGACTCACCAGCCCCACCTCTGAATGAGGAGTCAGAACCTACATTTTTAACAAGATTCCAGGGGATTAGTATGCACATCCAAGTTTGAGAATCACTATTCTGAAACTGTTCTGACCGTTATTCAGGAATCCTTTTCATCTTTTGTTTTTTTGAAAATGATATTTAAGTGGTGGCCGGTTGCTCAGTTGGTTAGAGAGCAGTGCTCATAACACCAAGGTTGCTGGTTCGATCCTAACATGGGCCACTGAGCTGTGCCCTCCACAACTACATTGAAACAACTACTTGACTTGGAGCTGATGGGTCCTGGAAAAACATACTGCTCCCCAATTTAAAAAAAAATAAAAAAGGATATTTAAGCTTTCTGTGAAAATGGCTCATAACTCATAAAATTTTCTAGTGAGCCTCTACTCCCCCAAAGATTAGGAATCACTGCATTATTATGCCAAACACAAAGACCAATGTAATGGCATTGAGTTTTCCAGGAAAAGCCATGTATCAGTGACCGGGCTATGGTGGCTACCAAGAAGAAACAGCCCCCATGCATAAATCACAGGATTGCTTTGGCCCCTCACATCCACTGGAGAGCTGTACCTGCACAACAGCATCCAGTAACCACAGGGCGCTGGGAAGGGGGAAAGGGGAAGGGAGGAGGAAGCAGACGGACCTCATGAGGTTTGCTCAGGAAAGCAATCGCCTCTTCTTCCCTCTCACTACAACCCAGGCCTCCACGCTTCCCTCCAACTCCTTCAGAGCACATTCGCCTCAACTTTCTGTTCAGCAATTTCTTGATACCCTCCTTCACCTTTACTTGTGCTTACCACAGATCTTGGGAAAGCATACAAAAAACATTTCTGTGGCCAGACAAGTGGCGTGTTGGTTAAGAACTGGCTTGGGACGCCAGAGGGCCCCGGTTTGGATCCCACATATGAGGGCCAGTGACACTGTCCTCCACAGCTAAGATGCTGAACAACAGCTCAACCTGGAGCTGGGCTGCCGTGAGTCACCAGCGACGGTGTAGGCTGCAGCCCCTGTGGCAGTGGGTTGCCATGGGCTACCATGTGTAGCCAGCAGCCAGCGTGAGCGGCCAGCAGCCACAGTGAGCGGCCATCCAGAAGCCGGCGACTGATTTGCCTCACCCAGGAAGAGCGCAATGATGGTGCCAACTTGGGCCAGTGAAGCAACGTCCTCCACAACTAGACTGAAGAACAAAACGACAGCAACTTGTCTGTTCCCCTTCCCCCAATTCCCCAACACTGTTCCCATCCCAATTCTCCAATAAAAATCTTAAAAAAAAAACAACCAAAACTTTTCTGTTTAAATTAAATCTCATGATCTTCCTTGTCACATCTGCTCCCATTTTTAATTCCACTGTAATAGGAATGTAATACTCATTCCTAATTACCCTAATTTTCTGAGTCACCTTTACTACTACCAGATGCCCACATCCAACTGATCACCAAGTCATGTGGATCCAAGTCTATTTTTCTGTTCCTTTTACTTTATTTCCAGGTCTTCATAACCTGTTACATTAAGTCCCCCAAAAGTTACCATATCCAGCCTTTTCTCAGGTTAGTAATATCCTAGAAACATATACCCCAGATATACAAATGTAGAAAATATGTACAAAGATAGTAACTGAAGCATTGTTTCTATAAACACATATTAGAAAATAACTTAAATATTCATGAATAGATGATGAAAATAAATTACAGTACATCAATACTATGCAGGCATGAAAAATAAGTCATAATACATCAAATATACAAATTACTTACACATGTTAAGATAGCAATTTATACTACTGTATTTCCCCATGTATAAGACACACCCTTTTTTGAAAAATTTGGGGTCTAAAAACTGGGTGCATCTTAAACAATGGTAGATTTTTTTACTTGCATTTCCCACTTTTTTTGCACTTGTTTTTGCACTCATTTTTGTAGATTTTTTAACTTGAATTTCCTGCTTTTTCGTGCTTGCTGTCTTCGTGCTCATTGTTTGGCACTTGTTACCGGTACACGTTTTGCCACGTTCTGCCCAGAAATCGCTCAGAAAAGATTTTCGTACAGTGCTGAATTCAAGTTAAAAGTGATCCAATTTGCAAAAGTGAATGGAAATCATGCTGCTGAACGTAAGTTTGGTCCTCCTCCAAATGAGAAAACAATCCGAGACTGGCTATGGGAAGAAGAAATGCTCTTGAAAACGCCACGGCAGAAGGCCATGAGAGACAAGTCAGCAAAATGGACAGATTTAGAGAGGGAATTGAAGATATGGATTGAAGAGCAAAGGGCAATTGGGTGATTCGTCATCAGACACAGATGAGGACAAGATAACAGTTGGGAGTTTTGACAGTATGAGGAGTTGTATGAATTTTATGATGAATAAAACTTGAGTTCAATAATTTTATGTAATACATTTTTTTTTCAAATTTCGGGTCCCCAAATTAAGGTGCGTCTTATACATGGGGAAATACGGTATGTGTATTACAGTATCACTTTCAAGAGAATCTATGTTTAAGTAATTTTGTATTTGAATATAGAAGGCTGCCCATCAAACTTAATTATAGGTACCATCAGGGAGTAGGATTTGGAGGGGAAGGCATGAAAGAACATATCTTTATTTGTTACTTCTGACAAGGGGAAAATTCTGAGATGTTCTAAATTAAATTATAGTGGCCAGAGAGTGAGAGACAGAACTCTTAGGATGTTAATAACGGCTGCTGACCAGCTAACAAAAGGCCGCTCACATTTCCTATTTTGACTGTTGGAACTCCAGGTTAACTTCCAGGTGACTATTTCTACTTGTTCAACCAGGCACCTTCTAACTCCAGGAGCCTCTGCTAGTTTACATGTGGGTTTTCTGGACTGCTGCCCCAGCAATCTACAGGAGTGTACATTTGTTTATGCAGACTCTGCACCTATCCCACAGCTGGCCTGCTTCACCTTCTCTCATCCTTTGCCCATAGTTAATGCTAATTCTTTCAGTTTACCTTTCTTCCTCCTTCCCCCAACTTGATGTAGAAAAAATGCTTGCAAAACTCTGGGATGATGGGCATGCTATCTTTTCTACCTAGCCATGCTGCTGGTAGCCATGCCCCAAGGCTAGCCTTCTTTTTGGCTAGCATTTTTGGCTCAATAAAATCTTACTTACAAAAAAGACTTTCAGTTATGAAAGTTAAAAAAATCTCAACATTTCATAGTACTCTTTGATTTGTTTTTTGTATTATATATTAACTTTATCACAAAATATACAGAAAAATAAATATTCTATATCCTACATACCACTGTAGATTAACTCTAGTGGAAAGGTTCTGAAAGTAACATTTCTATATTAAAAAAGAAATCCAATGGCTCCTCACTCCCACCAGCAGTTGGTAGACTTTTCAGCGAAACACTCAGGGCCACCATGATCTTACCCCAAATTACTACTTTTACTCCTGACATTAACACCTATAAAACTCAAGCTACAGCTACATCACACTCTTGGTCACTGCTGAAAAACAAAACCATTTTCTTATATCAGGTCCTTTCTCCTAATACTCGAACACTACACAGCTTAAATGTACTCTCCTTTAGGAAGCTTTCACCAATCCCATTTTTCAGAATATCCCCTCCCCTGAATCTGTTCCTCTCTTACACATTGTGGTTTAGTTGCATTGAATGTCCCACTCACCCTCCAATTCAACTGTAAACTTGTTGCTGGCTGTAGGATTTTACAATCTAACCTCCAGTGTGTTTACACATGGTAAGTGCTCAAAAACATTTATTTGAATGACTCCCTTTGTCACCATCCTTAGTTTCCTCAAGTGACACTCCTTCCACCTGCCTTTCCAATCTATCCCACTCCATGGGCTCTTCCTAGCCCAGGATAATGGTTAATTTGACAGTTTTGGTGTGACCACTTAATATGTGAGCTATAGGAAAAGTTACTCAACCTTTAAATCTCAGTTGTATCATCTTTAAAATAAAGGTCATAAACACAATGCTAACCTAGTCAGTGAAATAATGGCTATTACAGCTTACAGCAATCTTATGTCATCTATGTATTATTACTTCTTTGCCCACAAATTCCATTCTATTGCCCCTGCCCAGCCACTATATCATCTTTCTCAAAGTATTTAAAAAGTGCAATCTATGCTTAGCATTCTCTCACCTACTGTCCATCATTTTACTGATATTTACTTTTCAAAAGTTCATATTACTAGAAATCCCCAAAATCTATTATTTTGCCTCTCGTTTCATCCTTCCTGAGATCTCTGCAAAACCTGAACGCTAAAAGAAATATTGTGTCACTTTATAAAAACGCATCTTCTCTCTGGACACATTTCAAACACCACTTTTTTCAAGGAAACCATAAATTCGTAAAGCTGGAATCTAAATCCCATCTTCTACTTGATCCTCACACACACCCTAAGCTGCAGTGACTACTGCCCATTTCCTGAATCAAGTCTGAATTCCTGCTACAAACAAAAGTCTGAAGGAACGTTTTTTTAAAATTAAAAGTTTACTCAGATATTGATTTGCAAACCAGTAAATGCAGTCCTTGGTATGAACCGAAAATCCATTCCAAAACAGAGGGTTTATAAAGACAAAAGTTGCAAGGAGCTGATGATCAAAGAGATAGGTTGTTAGGGGAAACAAGACCCTAACCCTAAACCACTGGTTTTCTGATTGGTGGGGGTAATTGGACTTTCAACCCATGGGCTGGCTCAGTGTTGTCAAGCAAGTGCAGTTGTGAGATGAGAACAATGGGTAATACATGATTAAGAATCTATCAACATTTGTTGTTTCGGCCCAGGTCTGCAGAACAAATAGCTGTCTTTGATCACACAATTATAGTACAGGCAGTATTATTTAATAACCATGCAAAGAGTACAATTTATCAAGCAGTAAAATCAGCACATGGGGAGGGGGGGAAAGAGCCTGCTGCTTGCTCTGCAGGCAGTTTGGGAGGCCAAAAAGGCCAAGTTATGCTCTGTAAGCAGTTTTAGAGCTCAAGCTGCAAAAAATCCAAATACTGGGTCACAAGTTATGACATTAAAGTTCTTATAAGTCCTCACTGCTATAAGTTACTATGGTCCCTTTGCCCTCTCACTCTCTCCCCCAACTCCTTATTTTAAAGGCCCCAAGCCCATTGCAGCTCCTGAGAACCCATCTCCTTCTCCCACTTCCAAATCCCACTGAAGATGTGCCTGCCTTCTCTGTGCGCACTGCACTGTCAGACTGCGTGAGTCCGGGACAAGGACACCGTGCTTACTTACTCTCTTCTAACCCCGGGCACCCAGCAATAAACGCTCTTTCTTCATGCGAGCCTCGGACTTGATCTATTCATACCTCGACTTTCAAGTAATTTCTAAGTTCGCCCACCTTCTGCACTTCTTCAGCAAGCTCGATCACATCGAATTCCACAAGCACCCAACGGTTTAAGTGTTACCACGATCCCCGTCTGAAGAGGTACTTCTCAGGGTTGCCACCTGAGAGCCTGGATTCGTACCCGGTTCTGAGGCCTTTGGCTCCACTTGCACCCCCTTTCCAATTTTCTCCTTGGAAATTGATATACTCACAACTAACCCACAGCTCTGAAGAAACATTAAAAAACAAACCGTGTATCACAGGTGCCGTACCTGAGGGGTCCCCGGGCCGGCGCGCCTCACAAGAAACCGCGTGCACGCCTCTGCCAGGAGTCTGGAGGTGATGCAAGGCCCTGACAGCGCCGCATCAGCTAACCAGTGCGCGCGGCCGGACGCCCATCAACAAGCCTGACATCGATTGGCTGCGCGGGGCTCAGGCCACGCCCGTTTGGTCGCACCCCGCGGTGCCTGCTGGGATGGCGGCTGGACTGTACTACGCAGTTTAGGCGAAAGGGGAGGAAATGAGCGTGTAGTGGCCTCCGGGGAAGGGCCGGAGTGGGACTGGCATCTAGGGAAGGCTGAAGTTCTGCATCCTGACCCGGCGTTGTTCCACAGCTGTACGCATTTGTCAGTGTTCACCTCCATGTACATTGGACAAATCAAATCCGACAGTGGTCTGTAATTACACTGTGGGGCCCTAAGCGTGCAATCTCAAGGTTGCACTGCTAAGTGACCATTACAGGAAAGCAGCCACGGCTCTAGGACTGTGTATTTCATTGTGGTGGAGTCCTGCACCAAATCAGGAGTTTACAAAAAAGCAGAGTACTGGGCCACATTCCAGGCCTGCTGAGACTGCCTGGAGTTGGGTCACAAACATCTGCATTTTAACAGGCATCCTGGATAATTCTGCTGCACACTAAAATTCCTGACCTGCCTAACTGAAGAGACCTTCCTGTGCCCCAGAAAAACGCAGAGGCCACAATACTATGTCCCGAAGGAGCTGAAGCACTGGTGGTCAATGGTGTTCACGGAAGCCTCCTTTTCTGTTCCTTCAGTGCCACCTTGAGAGATCTGAATTTTACTGCGGTGATTATGGTAAACGGCAATATGGAGAGATAAAAAGGAAAGAAATGCCTGGTTACCAGCCTTAAAATTGTTTTAATGTTTCTGTTATGAAAACAAAATTATTTATCTGCTTATGTATTTATTATCACTGCTGTGTGTCTGCCTGGCACCTCTGTATCTGCTGGTTAAAAACAAAAGAACCTGGAGCCATTCAAAGGAGAGCAAACCTCACCAGAGACTATGAAGGAAATTTTAGGCCTTGACAAGTTGAGAGTAATTCTGCATGTGACTGCTTATTGTACCCATTACAGGTGTTACCAAACTCAGGTTCTGCTGCTTGCTGCTCCTGAGCAGCAGAGACAAGAGACAAGATTGGTGGAAAGAAAAGTTTATTCAGAATGCCAGCATTCAGGGAAGATGATGGACTGCTGTCTCAAATACTACCTTCCCTGTTCCAAGAATGGCCAGGTTTTATAGGCACGTTAAGAAAAAAAAGGAAAAGGAGTAAGGTAATTCCTTGGTGCTGACACCTGGAAAATTCTTCCTAGGTTCTTGTTTGCTTTGAGGTACAGCAAGTCCCCAACTTACAAACATTCGAGTTGTGCACTTTCACAGATATGAACGGACCTCACATTACGAACGTTCATAGATGCGAACAAATCGCGAAAGTAGCTCATGTGTCTGCCGGACATTGTCACGGTTGTGCTGCTGTGTGCTTACTGTACAGTGCGATAGTGTACAGCAGTACAGTGCTCAGTCAGAGCCCAGGATGTCCAGAAGCAAGAGGAAAAGCAGCTCCACCATTTCCCACCTACGAGAGTTAGTAACTCTCGTCAGTTCACTCCATGCAATCCCCTATGTGCTAGTTGTTGTACTGTACTGTACCACCATTTTAAGGTAACTGTAAGAGTAAAAAGTTTATTTTACAGTATTTCTGTGTGTGTTTAGTTTTTTTATGCTTTACATTGTATATTTGTGTCAAAGGTGTATAAGACTCACTTTGTCGGACTTACAAACGAATCCGACTTACAAGCGTTCTCCCGGAAAGGAACTCGTTCATAAGTCGGGAATTTACTGTAATGTTATCTCAGACTCGGTTGTGGGGATGTTTTGTATGTCATCTGATGGAAAACTGCAAGGGATTTGCAGCCTGGTTTTTGGCGCCCAAGTATTTAAGGGATGATTCAGTTTCTTTCAAGTTAGTGTTTTGGTGATTAACCTGGTTAATGAGGGATGCATGTAACCTTGGGGAGAACAGAGCAATTGAATCAGGCAGGAGGGTAAGACAACAAAAAAAATAAACAAGATTGTTAAATTTTGAAAAATATACTGTCACCCTTATAAAGGGACAGAAAAACTTGTTCTGGTTGAGACTATATAGAAAGCACTCCTTTAATAAGTTAAAATAACAGTATCATAGTCTATGTAGCATCCCTTCAACAGCTGCTTAATGTCTAGGAACACCCTACTAAGTGTCAGGGATTGAAGTAAAGTGGGTTTCATGTCCTTTCTCAAAGGGGTAACTTGACCCAGTAACTTAACTCACTTAATATATATATTTAGTAGTTGTGTCTCTTCAGCTTATTAACTAGAGTACTTGGAGTATGTTTTAAGCCTTTGCATTCAAGTTGCCACCTTGTTCAGTTCATTTTTATAATGTCTAGATAGCCTAGATTAGAGCAGGACAGAGGGCTCCCAGACAGATAAGACCAGAGAAAAAAGGTGGGGAGGATAGGTCTGATTATTTAAAAATTAGATTGAGAAACATTTTATGATACTGTTGGGAGGTATGGGAAGACTAAGTCTAGAAAAAGTTGAGCAAGTGAAAAAGATTTTAGGAAAAAAGTTAAAATGTGGTCAGAATATACTACTTGTAGGGAGCCGGAGGTCTGCAGTAAGGGTTAAGCCTGAAAGCTGACAGGCTGACAGGCTCTCAGGCCCGGGTGAGCAGCTTGGGAAGGTTGGCCACTGAGGAGAAAGCAGCCAATGACCTTGAAAGCTAGAGTGGAAGGCCATCCTGTTAACAGTTTCTGCTTGCTATACTTTGTTTTGTCTCGCTTCAGAGATTGCTTCCAAGGAATTTGTTACCTGAGAGGAGGGGCCTACCCCCTCAAGGTCCCAAAAACCCCCTACCCTAGGAAAGTTACTTTTGCTATAAAAGCTGTATACAAATAATAAACGAGGCCACTGTGTCATCAGCAATGGGTGGACCTCCTGCCCCCAGCTTTCGTCTCTAGTCTCTTTCCCAAATCTCCCACCCAGTCCTCTCAGGTACCCTTTCAGTGGGTTCCTTGCTGACGAGTCAGGAACGCTTGGTTGGTGCGCAGGTCGCATCATACTACTACTTGGGTTACAGTTAAATCTTCGTTTTTCAGAATAGGAAGTTAATAGGTAATGTCTGAAACTGAAAAACCAGGAAATCATAGCACAAGCATGTTAGGTAGAAATGTTGAGATAAGTATCAGAGGAAACAAAATTGTTGAAGGTGGTTGTACCTGGGGAGCAGGAATTAGGGGTAGGATGACTACTTGATGTTGCTTTGCTTTGGATGCTTTAAATGCGCATGGCACATTTAAACATGGCCACAAATTGACACTCCTCCCACTAGGAGGTGAGGGTCTATGTCCTCTCTACCTTTTTTTAAAAAAAAATGTTATAGTAGTTTCAGGTATATAAAACATTAGACATTTACACCCTTCACATAGTGATAACCCCAACAAGTCTACTACTCCTGACATCGTACATAGCTGTTACAATACCACTGACTATATTCCCTATGCTGTACTTTACATCCTGAGACTATACCTGTGTGTGTGTGTGTGTGTGTGTGTGTGTGTATATATATATATATATATATATATATATATATATATATATTATTCTACATCAGCTTTTTAGTTGTACAGCACAAAGGTCAGGCATCTACACAGTCTATGAAGTGCTCCCCCCAATAAGTCCAGAACCCATCTGACACCCTATATAATCTTTACAACATTGTTTATATTCTCCATACCATATTTCACATCCCCGTCACTATTTTGTGACTACCTAATTTGTACTTTTTTTTTTAAAAGATTTTATTGGGGAATCGGGGGAAGGGGAACAGACAAGTTGCTGTTGTTTTGTTCTTCAGTCTAGTTGTGGAGGATGTTGCTTCACTGGCCCAAGCTNCTGTTGTTTTGTTCTTCAGTCTAGTTGTGGAGGATGTTGCTTCACTGGCCCAAGCTGGCACCATCATTGCGCTCTTCCCGGGCGAGGCAGATCAGTTGCCAGCTTCTGGATGGCTGTTCACGGCAGCTGCAGGCTGCTCATGCTGGATGCCGGCTACACACGTAGCTTATGGCAGCCCACTGCAGCAGGGGACTGCAGCCCACGCTGTCGCCGTCGCTGTCACCCCACGGCAGCCCAGCTCCAGGTTGAGCTGTTGTTCAGCATCTTTGCTGCAGAGGGCAGTGTCACTGGACCTCATATGTGGGATCCGAACCAGGGGCCTCTGGCATCCCAAGCCAGTTCTTAACCAACGCGCCACTCGGCCGGCCCCTAATTTGTACTAATCCAGGGATCAGCAAACTTTTGAGACGGAAGAGCCGCCAGGGGTCAGCAAACTGCGGCTTGTGAACTTTGGCTCTGAAGTAAAATTGAAAATGAAAATAAAACTATCATAGTTTCATTTATAAAATTTTTACAGGATATTCACATAAGGGTGATTAAGTAAAAATATATTTATGGCTCTCAAATAATTTTTAAATTGTTTTGAGGGACAGGATTGGCTCCTCCAGGGGTAGGCAAACTTTAGATGCGGAACGTACCCAAAGAGCCTCATGTGGCTCGGAAGCCGCAGTTTGCTGACCCCATTTTAATCCCTTCACCTTCTCCCCGATCCCTCAACCTCCCTATGTCCCCTTCTTTGGTGTCTAGGTGGGCTCTGTTGTTTTGACCTATAGAATATAGTGGAAATGACTGAGCCAATTTCTGGGCTAGGTATTAAGAGACTGGCAGCTTTTGCTTCCTGCTCCTGAAGCCTAGTTTCCATACTGTGAGGAAACCCATGGATAGGCACTGAGTGAGCATGCTATCTTAGAAGTGTATCCACTAGCCTGAGCTGAGTCACTCCAGTGACACTACATGGAGTACAGATGAGCAGTCCCCACTGAGTCCTGAACAATTGCTTATTTGTGAGCAAAATAAAACAATTGTGAATGGGATGGCTTATTATGCAGCAAGAGATAAGAAGGTCCACAGCAAGACAAGGGAACATTTGGATTATTTATCCTTCCAAGTGGTTGTTTCCATTCTCTATGAAGTTTGAAGTCTTGGAAACACAGGAATGACTCTTTAGCTACTTAGTTTCTTGGACCCTGTTTATTAAAAAAAAATTATGTACTGAGTACCCACTATGGTGGACATGGTTCTAGGGAGTGGGGACTTAATGGTTAACCAGAAGACATTCCAGCCCTTGTGGCTCAATGATAATCCCTTGGGATTGTCTATATAATGCAATTTTGTATAGATCCCAGTTTCATAAGAGGTTTATCTTTCATCCTAGTCAGGTTGATTTAACAAGGTATTAAATCTGCTTCCCTATATGGACTTAGGGTCCTGACTCCTAACTGTCTACATACCTTTGAGACACTTTGATTTTTCATAAGCCTCTGGTTTAAGTAGAACTTTGGGATTGATGGGCCTGCCTCTATCAATTCCTGGAGGCCAAGGACAGGAAAACTCTGTATTTTGCATCCCTCTCTGGTCCTCACAGTACTCTCCTATGATGTTGGTGGAAAATATCCTGCAGTTCAGTTAGCCATTCATCAGAATGCAAGTACAGAACTCAAGTTTGACTTGTGTTCAACCTCTTAAACAAAAAACATAAAGTGGAGGTAAGGTACAATCAGAAATAAATATTTCAAGTAGCCTATAATTTACACAAAGCCTAACTTGAAAAACACAAGTGCTCTGACTCATATATTTAAAAGGATTTATGTAAATCTTGCAACAGAAGATGCCATTAGTTATTGAGGATGGAGGGCAAAGAGATTATACACAAAAAGTATTTTTTGAGGGACTATCTTGTGCTTTATTTAATAAAAAAAAAGTTTAGATTAATTTTTTTTGAAGTAACTGGTCCTAAGGAAGAAATACAGGAAATCCACAGAAAAAGATAGCAACCAGAATGATATCAGCCAGATTTCGTATATTCCTTCACTCCAAATTCTTGTCCGCTAAAAATATTTTCTAGTTCATCCAATTTCCATAGGTCTTATTCACAATCAGTATCAAAAGCAATAATGATACTTTATTTTGGTTTCACTTTCCTTTTGGCATCTTTATGTTTCTTCCGACAATCCTACAAAAACAAAATCAAAAGCCTTTAAAAAAAATAAAAGTAAATTATTTTTAAGAAGTTCAGCAACTATAAAGTAAAATTTAGGCTTATTCATTATCAGGGTTGTGGAAACCATTTTGGAAGTGCTCAGACTATTTAGACTTTTGGCTTTAAGTGTTTACAATGGGAACTCCAATGCAGTCTTTCAAAAGTCTCATGATTTCCTGATACTTAATGAGCATGGCTGAAACTTGGACCAGTAACGTTAATTCAGCGAGTCTTCAATCTCCTCTCCTGTACCATGTATGTTGGATTAAATACCTCAAAGTTCCCTTCCAGCGTTATAACTCTGAGTGTTTAAATCATATTCTCAATTGTCACCCTTTCTGTCTTAAGTTCATACCTTATTCCCATATTCTTACACAAGGCAAATATTAACACAAAGATTACATATCTATTTTAGGCGACAATCAATATGAAGATATCATTACTCACCACACGCAAGATGTTTGTTCTGGCCTCCCAAGAATTCCTGCTAATATTACCTCCCATTCCACTCCAGAATAAGTCAAAGCCTAATAGGGGAAAATCAAGAAAGACAAGGCAGCAAATTAATACCAAAAAAGACAATATTGTAATGCTGGCATTATCAAGGTCTTCAATTCTAGTTATGACCTCCCCTCCACCACCACCAATTTATGCTAATTAAAAAAACATTTTCGTTTCTTTACAAAACGAAAATGTAGAACTGCTAAGATTTTACTGTTTATATACCATTTACTATTATGTAACTTGGTTTATGTTTGTGCTAGGCTTTAAGAAATGAGTTCACCAACAGCTTCAGAGTTTCCACACGAACTTTTAGAGTATTAAAAACAAGAGTTTTTGTCTGGCATCTAAGCAAATCCTTGAAGCAAAACAAGCCCTTGAAAATAATGAGTGAGGGACGTAGTGAGTGGGAGCTCTCAGCCCCCCAGAGCTTTATATGCCAACATGCGTAGTCTAACAGAGGGGGCTAAACCACATGACATTGTAAAGGGTCAGAATTTTTGCCAAACAATGACCTGTTCTATACCATTTAATCGAAAAATGGACTCACCATGAAGTCTTTCATCATCCTTACAGAAAAAGAAAAATCTAGTAGTCTCTTTCTCAGGTAATGATACTTCTCTGGAGGGAGGGAGGGAAGGAGGGAGGGAAAGAGAGAGAAAGAGAAAGAGAAAGAGAGAGAGCGAGAGAGGTTAGTTGGTTCATTTCAATATTTAAGAAGAATGTTTACATGGAAAATATACTACTCCTTAAGTATAGCTGCTCTGTGTTTTGCTTATTTTGCTCTGAGTTAAAGTGCTCCCATGCTCTCTCTTCAACATTCTCCTCTTCTACCTGAAGCTTTGGCAATAAAGACTTGTTTAAGTACAAGCTCTGTCTTACCCACACTGGTTGCTGATACTTTCACCCTACTGCTGCCACCCGTCTGCCAGTGTTTCCCATGGGGTAGCAGCCAGCCAGCTGCTGCATCCTCTTTCCAGACCAGGGATTCAGTGTTAGGCTTCCTTCCCTGTAACACATCATATCCCCCACCCAGTGCTATCCAAATCTCAAGAAAAGGAAACACGCTCCCCATTACAAAAAGGCTACAGAACTCTCTAAATGAGCTAATAGAAGAAATAGTCTTGAAAAGATAAACTTAGATACTTCTAGAATATTTCCAAAGTAGTGTCTAACTCAGATTTTACAAATTATGAAGTATACTTGTACAGAAACAAACTGCTTACTCAGAGTTGGGCATTCTGTCATCTGTTTCTTCAGTAACATCTTCCCCTTCTGAACTGCTGTCTTGGAAATGAGGGGCTCTCTGCCAGGCAGTCTTGGCATGTTTCACTGTCTCAATTCTGTATGTCTCTATATCATCATGACAATAAAAGATGCCGGGATTGTAACTAAGAGTCAAGCATTTCTGAACACACTCACTTGATTACTTTCAACATGCATGCATATCTCTAAATTTCCAGTATCTTATTATTAATTAAAAATAAGTAGTTTCTTTTAAGCTTTTCAGGTATTAATTGAGAGAAGCTACTATATCATATTGTTGGCATTGATAAGGAATATAGTAATAATATAAAAAAATATAAAAACTGAAGGTTTATAAATGGGCAACATAGTTAAAACAAACAAAAAAAACCAAAGCGTGGCACCTGTGCTAGCTAGCATGAGAAGCCTAAAATATAACACAATGTAGTGAAACCAGGCTTCCCTCCTGCTTATTCATAAATGAGAGAAGGATCGTATGTTTACAGTTTCAATTTCCAAAACTTCTTTCTAGAACTGCTAAAAAAACCTATAAGATGTGGACAATCATCTCACGAGTCCCAAAGTCTCCCAAGTACTTCTTAAAGGATGTCTCCCAGATTGCTGAGTTTTCTTTTTTTTTTTTTTTTAGCTGAGCCATCCTGCCACCTGTTGGCAGCTCAGCGGCAGCACAGCTTGGGCCAGGACTTGAACCACTGTTGCTCAGAGCTTGCACTCTTGAGTGAGGTCTTAGCCAACTGAGCCACTCGGCCAGCCCAATGCTCAGTTTTCTTAGTACTCATTTCAAGACCAATTTCTCACACTTGGATCTCAAAGTTATTAGAATTATAGTCAATATCCAACTCACGCCAACTCTGCTCCACACGTTAGGACTTACCTTGGTACTCAAATGGACAGCACAGGGAAGGTAAGCAGAGTACACGATATATTGTGTCTCATTTAGGACAATACTGTTCTTGAAAAACTCCTAGATTGTTGTAGCTCCTGCTGGAGTACTGCAGAGCTGGGATTTAATACTTATCTGCTAAACACATGGATGCCCTTTTACCTTCTGATCTTTATTTAAAGTAGAATCCACTGTAGTTAGGTGTGCCTGTATTGTCCTATAGAGGCATATCCTGCTTTATACAATGAAGTTCCAGGAAAGCTGCACTTCCATTCTGAACACTAAGTGAAGAGCAGCCTCCAAAGGAACAGGTGTTTTTAACTTTTGGCCCATGTTGGCGTTTAGAGGTAACCCTCCTGAAATGGAATGCAAAACTGTACACGTTGGTGTTGGTACTTTTCTCTAGGTTCTGGCAAATGTCTAAGGATGAAGTCAGAAACAATTGGCATTCCTATGACACAGCATATTTTTACAAACCCAAGGTTACCTATTTCTTTCTTTCCCCTACCATACAGTACTGGCTTTCCAGAAGTCATGGCTTCTCCAAATACATTTAAGATATGAAACTATTTAAATATATGACTTCCTATACTTCTTCATGACTATTTCTTTCTAGTCAACAGAAGAAGGGATGCTGTACATTATTCCAGCCTCCCTTTACATGGCAGCTTCTAGAAATTGGCACCCTTAAAGCAAAACCATTTTTTGCTTTGTTAAACACAGCTCCAGGCACATTATGTTTATGGTCATATAATGATGAATCTCACATTGTTTACCTAAGTGGAAAGAAGAATCCGCTCTTCAGCTAATGTTAAATTACACTTAATGTAGGCTTGGTCAAAATTGAGTTTAAACTTTATGGAATGAAAAAGTAAAAAAAAAAAGTACCTTCCTTTACATCTTGGGGGTCTGAATCAAAAAAGGAGAACGTGAACCCGCCAGGCTGCTGGGCCCCAGTCACCAGAGCATCAGGGTCATGGACTTCCTTGGCTTTCTCTCTGCCACGGTCCTCATTCCAGGGCATGTCTTCCTTTTCATTGTTATCTTTTATAGTCTGGAATATTTCTTTTAAATCCGTAGCAATGTTATAATACATTTCTTTAGACACCTCAGGTAGCTTCTCGGCTTCCTCTCTCTTCTTCTTTCGCTTTGCTTTACTGCATTCACATAGACATGTGCATCACAACAAAACAGTCAATTTTTGGGAAATTTCCAGAAATCAAGAAAGGAAAATGCCTTGGATAACTTTAATTCCATCCTTCCAACAAGCAGTAGGACCCACATATAAAAAACTCTACTCATAAAAATAGAATCATGACCAATAAGTTTTTTACACACACAAGTATCTCAAACAGTTCCAAGTATTAAATGAGTCATACTCTCCTATCTCTTATCCTCTAAACTAAAATTCAGTAATTACACCTAAGATATTAACTTTGAGTAAGAAAAAAATCACTTAACCACATCGTGCCTCAGTTTCCTCATCTGCAAAATGGAATGTGTTAAACCGGGTGACTTCTAAGACCTTTCCAGGTTCTAACATTCTGTAATTTTATAAAATTGGTGTCAAAGGATTTAGTTATAATTCAGTTTTAGAAATTAATTATAAATATGCTAAGTCTAGTTTGTTTTGGAATGAAAATTTTATATTACCATAAACCTGTTCTATATTTAGGAATATGCTTTTCTTTTTTATCTTAGATACAAAGTTACATGGCAGTTTCTAACATCAAGTTTTTAGCTAATAAAAGATTAAAATCCTTTTTCTTATTAGAGTTGACTATATATATATATATTGTTGAGTAATATTTGGCCAAAATTCTAACTGTATTCTCTAAAATGATAAGAAGTCCTAAATGATCATCTTATTGGTGGAGACTATTTCACAGTGAGAAATTTTTTATACTTCATTAAATAAACCAACCTGGCTAGGATTTATGACAGATATGCTCCTATGGAAGCAAACTCTGTAATACATGGTGTTCTTTAGACAGTTCCAAGGGATTATCACTGAGCCATGATGTAGTGGATTTCAAAGTGGTCCAAAGATCCTTTGATACTTCTTTACGAGGTGGAATGAATTCCCCCATTCCTTGAGTGTGGGCTGGACTTAGTAACCTCTTTAACTAGCAGAGTAAGGGAGATGTGATGGTGTATGATCCTGACACTAGTGTCTGAGAGTGCATTTTGGTTTTCCCTGATCGCTCCCTCTTCTGGATTTGGGGGAGCAGCTGTCACGTTGTGAGGGCACTCCACCAGCCAAATGGAGAGGCTAATGAGGCAAGGAACTGAGCCCTCCTACCAATGGCCATGTGCACACACCATCTTGCAAGCAGATCGCAAGTCTTCAGAGACTGCAGCCCCAGGTGGAATTTAGATTGCAACCTCTTGAGACCCTGGCCAGACCCACCTAAAGAAGCTGCTCCCAAATTCTTGACTCATGGAAACTTTGAGATAATAAATGTTTGTAGTTTTAAGGTGCTAAGTTTTGGACAATTTTTTTTATCCTTTAATATATAACTAATACACACTAGATGTAAATAAAAACTAATATATTGAACAAAATACCTCCCACTTATGTACCATGTTCAATGTGGATTATGCTAAATCATTCATACAAAAATTGTATATTGCAGGGAATATTTATGTTACTTCTGCTTTGGTTTGATATGTGATTCTCTTTCAAAGAAACCTTTAATTTTGGAACAATTTTAGATTTACAGAAAAGTTGCAAAGATAGTACAGCGTTCCCAAGTAACCTTCACTTAGTTTCCTCTCACGGTAGCATCCCATATAACTATGATAGAATTGTGGAACCTAAAAGATTAACATTGTTACATTCCTATTAACTAAACACAAACGTTATTCTCACTTTACCAGTTTCTCCACAATGTCTTTTTTGTTCTAGGAGCTAATTCAGTATACCACATTGCCTTTAGTGATTTTAACAGCAGGAAAATGGAGTTGAGCCAGGTGAGGTGACCGGTTGCTCCATATATATGGCCCATTCATCAAACTGACAGAATAGCCCTAACTCCTGGAACCTGTGAATATTACCTTACTGGGAAAAAGGGTCTTTGTAGTGTAGTTAAGAACGTTGGAACAAAGAGGTTACCGAGAATTATGTAGGTAGGCCCTAAATGCAATCATAAGTGTCCTTATAATAGATACAAAGATGACATCCACACAGAAGAGAGGAGGTCATGTGAAGATGGAGGCAGAGACTGAAGTAAAGCAGCCACAAGCCAGGGAATGCCACAGACTGCTGGCAGTCACCTGAAGCTAAGAACGAGGTGTGAAATGGATTTTCCCCTGAATCTCCGGAAGGAACGCAGCCCTTCCAATAAACTTGATATCAGATTCCTAGCCTCCAGAACTGTGAGAAAATAATTTCTGTGGTTTTAAGTCACCAAGTTTGTGGTAATCTGTTACACTAACTAATATAAGTAGGAGGTGCCATATTAGATTAGGAGCACATATTATCACATGCATGAGATTCCTTTGTTAAGTTAAGGCTCTCTCTACCACATCTATAATTCTCCTCCAACTGTTCCCTCCCTGGTCTTAAAACTAAATACAATGGAGACCAATGGATGGGATACTGGTTACTATCTACTTTTCTCATTGTCCAAAATAAGATTAATGCATATGATCTCATTACCAAAATAAGTAGCCTGATTTACCTTTCTTTTGGTTTATCATCTGTTTTTCTTTCATAAGTGGCATGGTCATGCCTTGTCGGATCATAGTGTATGATGTCCCTATGTAAAAAAAGTAGTGATAAATTGGAAGAGATAAATCAGAACACACATGCAAAACGTTAATAGCAAATTATAATTCAAAACTAGATTTGATTCTAATTTTGAGCAAGGCAAAGTTACACATCAAAGAAGAGAAGTCTCATTAGAAACAATCACATTTTAAATTGTCTAGTTTTGAGTTTCTCCGGACCTTTTTGTTAGTATTAAAAATTATTTTAAACATACTAAAATAATTTAAGATTAGTTTCTTGACGTTGAATCACTGGGTGGAAGGTAAGTATATTTTTAAGGGTTCGATATTATTGCCACTGCCCTCCTCAGGGAGTTTAAAATGGCCTAGTTTTAAACTGAGTTGGAGAAGGCATTTATAGCAAAAGAAAGCAGGGTGGGACAGGATAGAACATAAATCGTACTTGAATTTCTTAGCAGCTGCTGGTCCTTTGCTTGCAGGACCACTTCGGCTGGTGCACAGAACACTCTGCACAACGTCCAGGGCTTTCAGCTTTTCTGCAGCAAGTGCTTCCTCCTCAGTGGTCATCATGTCATTTACCTCTTAGAGGGAAAAGGATGATTAGCAATCTCTAAGCAAATGTATTTCAGACATCTCAATCATCAAATATCTATTAATTACCTAAACATATGCAAAGCACATTAAGATAGGAAGAAAAGTTAAATCTCAGTTTGCTAACCTCCCTACCCCCAAGGCCCTCAATGCCACAGTGAATCCAAAAGGTGTATGACCAGCAAACAAAAAGTCCCATTTTTATTTGTAATTGTAAAAATTGAATCTGGATTTAATAGCTTTCAGTGGCAGTCTAATAGCTTTTAAAGTAAAGACAAGATACTAATTACAAAACTAAAGTGATTATAGACTCATTTTTTTCACATTATAAAAATGTAATTAAATTACATATAAACCTAAAAGTGAAAGATGGTAATTTTACTATTAATATATATAATTAGACAGTTGTTTCTGCCTTTGATTCAGTAATATTGCAGGAAAGAGCCACAGGCCTATATCCACACAGGATATCATGGAAAAGTGTAAGCTGTTATTCTCAACTACTAGAAAAAAAACAGATACCAGAGAACAGAGTTAAACAGCTAGTTTGGATTACAGATAGAGAAGAAGTCTAAGCCTTAAAAACCCTTTCAATTTAGCACAGGGTATGAACCAAACAACAGAAGCTAGCACAAAACGCTGATTTGAAAACATTCTCTACAGAGATGTCTCCACAGTTCCTAAGAGTTCAAAGGAGGTAAAGATTATGTTCAATTGGATCAAGAATGCTTTATAAACCAGGTAGAGTGTAAGGGAGGAAAGACAAAGTGGATTCCCTGAGGTGGGAGGAGGGCCTGGCAGGTGTAGGTAACAAAATGAACACACACATTAAAGAAAGTACATAAGTTTTTTTTTTTTTGGGGGGGGGGAGGGAAATTGGGGGAAGGGAAACAGACAAGTTGCTGTCCTTTTGTTCTTCAGTCTAGTTGTGGAGGACGTTGCTTCACTGGCCCAAGTTGGCACCATCATTGCGCTCTTCCCGGGCGAGGCAGGTCAGTTGCTGGCTTCTGAATGGCCGCTCACAGCGGCTGCTGGCTGCTCACGGGGGCTGCTGGCTGCTCACGGGGGCTGCAGACCACACACGGTAGCCCATGGCAACCCACTGCAGCAGGGTCTGCTGCCTACGCCGTCGCCGGCGACTCACGGCAGCCCAGCTCCAGGTTGAGCTGTTGTTCAGCATCTTAGCTGTAGAGGGCAGCGTCACTGGCCCTCATATTGGGATCCGAACTGGGGTCCTCTGGCGTCCCAAGCCAGCTCTTAACCAACGTGCCACTCGGCCGGCCCAGTACAGAAGTTTTATACTGCAGTAGGTTGAGCCCTAAGAACTACTAATATTCAACAACTTTTGACTTCAAAAATGGAAATTTCAATCTTAACCCAATAAAGACCACGAGGAAGCAGAACTTACACAAAATGGCTCACGGTGTTTGTAGGCTGGCCGTACTGCTTACTTACAAGAGTCTTTGCAATTCACAAAAAATTGAGCCTCAAAATTTGGGAAGGAAAGAAACAAAAGCGAGAGGTTCTATGTCTGAGTGCCTAAGAATGGAAGTGTCATCAACAGAAACAGAAGGGTCCAGAGGAGCTGAGAGAGAGAATTCAACTTGGGAGTTTTAACATGGGCCCAGGAATGCCTGTGAGAAATAGCCATCAGGCACTGAGAAAAGCACGGTTGGGAGCTCAGCAACAGTCAGGAGCCAAGATGACCCCAATTTGGAAAATACCCACGTATAAGAGAAGACTAAAGCCACATGAATTTACAGAACCTCAAGAGCCTACATCTGGAGGGAAAGGGAAAATCAGAAGCCAAGAAACAAGAAGAAAACTAGGATGTCATGGTATAATATAATGGAGCAAAGAAGGGAACGAGAACATTTAAGAAGGGATGGTCACCAATGACAAATGCTATGGGCAGGCCGAAGAGGATGAAGCGTGAGAAAATGCCCCTGCATTCAGTCAACTGGTTCCTCACAGCTCTGAGGGACACACAACAGAAGAGTTAGAAGGACAGACCAAGTGGCAGAAGTTAGGAAAGTAACCTCTCCATGCAGCTTTAAATGGAGGCTATATTCCCAAGGTTCTGTCCATGCCTATGTTTTAAACATGAAATTTTGAGTGAGAAGCTCTGAAACGTAAGTTGGTATGCATCCTGGAGAATTTACTCTTTGAACCCTGGCTTCTGGAAATGTACAATACACAAGATAATCATCTGAAAGAACTGAGAATGTCAAATCACAGACTGTATTTTCAATAAAGTCAATTGCTTCTGAATTAGATGCAATTTTCTTTTTCTTTTGTTTCAAGTTTAAAACTAAAAAAAAGATGGGAGTGGCAACTCGAAAACTGGCAGGGTTGAAGGAATGGCTTTTTGGACCTCTGAGACTTGACTTTGTAGAAAGAGGGAAGGGGCTAGAAGAGATGTGAGAAAGCGGGGAATGGGATGTATAAATGGGAGGGATTAAGATGCAGTTTAGATGAGCTCAGGAAAGAGAAAAAGACAAGGTGTAAAGAAAAATTCTGAGACTGGAGAGGGAAGCAAGGAGCTCACTGCAAGATAAGAGTAAAAGGTCATGTAGAGGAAGTTTAGAATCACTGCTACGAAAAACACTAAAGGAAGTCAAAGAGTAGAGTTAGGATGCTTCTGATAGCATCGTTACTGTTAGATACCCCCAAAGAAGGATAAATTCAAGTAGAATGGACTTCAACAGCACATTGCTTTTTAAAAACCTGCACCCAGCACACACAGAAGATGAAGACTCTCTTTTAGAAGGCCAAGTGTGACTTAACTGTCTTCCATGGACTCACCTGGACGTCCCAATCTACTGTCAGGTAGGGACCTTACCTTTTCTCTTATGCCAGAGATGGGACAGAGGAAGACAGTCCCTCCTGTTCCTTTTGGCAGGTTTAAGTGATTACAAATTTCTAAATAAATTACTACAAACAAACCCAAGCAGTACCAAATAAGCGAAGCAATGGATTATAAGCTCCACAGTTCACTGTCCCGGGGTGTAGAGTTTCTCCCTGTGTTAAGTGAAACAGCTAAACTAGATGACTTCTCAGGGTGTCCCAGCTCTGACATCAGCACTGTTTGGACAATGAGGCCTTTACCTTCTTGTTCTTCTTCACTGTCACTTTCTAGAAATCGGGAGTCCATGCGAAATCTGTCATCAGTGGCAAAATGAGACTGCAAATCCAAAAGCTCGAAGACAAAACACACACACAATTGAAAGCCATATTCCCAAGAAATCAATTCTAAAGAAGACCCTTCAAGTGCCCTCCCATACCGTGAAACTCCAATTAATGTTTGCATACCTCACCTACCCATGAACCAGGTCAAGGTCAGTCTGCATTTACCTAGACTTATGGACTATGTCAAAAAATAAGGACACGTTGCAAGTTTTATTATTTTCACTAACCTTCTTTCCAGCTCTACCCTCAAATTGAGGTTTAATTCTGAACCTGCTACTGTCATCTTCGGAATCAGATTCCTCATCATTGCTACTGTCAAATAGCTTCCCAGACACTCTACCCAAGGACTCCTGTTACACAGATGAAGACAGAAACATTTATTAAAAACTGAGGCAATTAGTGTTTTCTTCATTACGTAATCTTCCCTTTCACATTTAAGAACCAGCAACCCAGATGCATCTCCCAGGAAAGGGTGGAAGGTGGTGAGAATGGAAACTCCCAACTCAGAGATATCCATGTGGCCTCTCAGGCCATAGGTCCAGAGGCTCCCATGCAGCCTGAATGGGAGAGGGGGACCAGGACAGTTATTACATATGTGAGAACAGTTTTTGCAGGATTTCACTAATATTGATGTCACTGTCCGATGATGTGGAGGATAGGTTCATGCAGGAGAAAATCTCCAAGGTCCTGCAGTCTCTAGGTGGATGGAGTGGGGAGCCCTGTCTCCTCATGGCGCCAGGGAGGATTGTATGCTGAGCCTGGCAGTTGTGTGCAGGTCTTGGTATGCGAAAGGCAGAGATGAGCTGCAAACACAAAGGAATGCCCACACGGACAACCTGAACTTACTTTCATTGGTTTCTCTCCCAGATGGCTTTGCTCCCAAGTGGATGTCTCCACTGTCTCACTTTCACTGTCGGAACCAAAGATGATATGCGTTGGCTTGTCCTCTGGATGACCATCCTAGAGCGTTATATCAAAAGCATTACATCTTAAGACAACCCCCCATCTCCTTTCCCTGCCAAGTCTACTTCTCATCCTCTTTTCTTGTCTAGTGAATGCCATTGTCCACTTATTTTCCTAAGACGGACACTGTGACTTCTCTTTCTTTGCATATCCAGTTGATCACCAAGTCCCATCAAATGGACCTTCTTGGTACCTTTTATGTCAATTCCTACGGTTACTATCTTGGTTCTGGCTCACGACCTCCTAAAGGCTGACCCTGGTTTCAGATTTGCCCTATTAGATCTGCTGTTTGTCATGGCCTGGACAATGTTTCCCAAACAGTTTGGCAAACTTTTTCTGTAAAGGGCCAGAGAGGAACTTTTTTAGGTTTTGTGGTGTTGGTCCTGTATTCTTTTTTCTAAATGCTTTAAAAACATAAAAACCATTCTTAGCTTGGAGGCTATACCAACATGGGCTGGATGGCCTGGGAGCTGTGGTTTGCCAACGCCTGTTCCAATATACACACAACCAACTTTCATTCCCTTGCTTAAAGCTCTTCATTCTTCTCAGTCTGAAGAATATGTCTAAGCTCTGTAGCCTCTTCACAACTCACCCCTACTTACCTCTCTACCCTCATTTCTTGCTACCCCGTACTCTATACATCCCAGTCACACTGATTATAAATACTCATTGTACAAATTGCTCCTTCTTGCCTTTCCTCTCTCTTCACACCCTGACCTCTGCCAACCAGTTCACACTGACCCCTCACACCACTCAGTTCAGGTTAAGGAAGGTCTTCCCTTGATCCTCCCGACCAACCTGGTTTGTCTCCCATGTGATGCCAGGGCACAGGGGCATACTTGTCTCTTGGCTGGTGGAACTGAACTGTTACCTTCTGCTCACCACACTATGAGCTAATAACCACCTGCGGCAGGGACCATGAGCCTTGTTCCTCATTCTGTAAACCCAGCACTTACTGTGAAGACATGGAACCTCATAGGCACTGAGTAGTTGTTGAAAGAATGAATAAAGCTCATTATAGTAAATCTTTGCAAGATATAAATCACTTGGGAAATGATTTATATGTAAATTCAGACATCAACTATACCATTTCTAGTTTCTAAAGGAAATTATGAAGAAAACATTAGATAAAAACAAATTAAACATGTTTTTCATAACAATTTAATTTCACTTCCTTTGGGATATATTAAATATATATGGTGACAAAATCTAACTTGATGATTCAGCACATGGAAATGGTGGGTGCTAGGATACTGACCTCTGAAGGGGCACATCTACCTTCATGGGAAGGGAAGAATGAAATTTGAGAGTTCTTGCTAAACCCATAGACTGAAAATACACTCACCAGATTTGCCAGAGCATCATGAACCAGCTTCTTCTGTAGTTCTTTTGCCTTCTGCCTTGCCGTTAAGGCTGCCAAACGTTTCTGGTTATCTTCAGCATGCTTGTCCTCAGCATTAACATCTGATGAACTACTACGAGAAAATGGGAAGTCAGTTTCACTTCCCCGAGAGTGTCTCCTGAAGACCTCTGGTGACCACTCAGGGGCCATGTGGCTGTTCAGATCAGGCCTCTTTTCAGAGCCCTCTCCCGTCTTTGTGGTCCTGTGGCAAAAGTCTTCATCAAAGGGAGTCTCTGCACCAACACTTAAAGATTTCTTATCTTTTAATGGCAACAGACTAGAAATATAATTTCGACATCCCTTTTCTGAACTGCCAGGGGACCCCACTGTGTGATCCTGGCTTTCAAAAGTGGACTGTTTCTTTTGAGGCTGGATATGATTTGGGTCATCTGCTTTCTTTGCTGACTTTGCTCTTTGGGAAGGAGTCAGTTCGCTTGATGAGCCATTAGCATATGGAAACTCCTTTTCCATGGACACACTAGTGGGATCCTCAAGTTTCAAGGAATTCTGATTTTTATTAATATTGTTAGAGGCAACACTCTCCTTCAAGGATTTTTTCATCGATTTCTTCCCATAGAGAGAGCTTACTCCCATGAATGCTTGGAATTTTGGCTTTAAGTTGTTTTCCTTTTGTGTCTGTTTCCTAGGGGTGTTCTCTTCTCCTTCTAAAAGGGATACCACAATCTCCTCAGGATGAATACATTGTTGACCTCTGTGGAGGCCACCAGAAGTCCTGTGGCTCTTGGAGGCTCTGTCACACTTGGTGGTAGTTTCCCAGCCATTACTCTCAGTATCTTCTTTTGGAGCCTCCAGGTCACTGCCAGCCAACTGCCCCAAATCAGCTAAAGTGAGTGCCACAGAAAGACAGTTTTTCATCATGGCATTATACTCATCCTCCTCAGACTTAGCTGATTCTGACACAGACTCAGCATCTTCACTGCTACTAGAATTGGACAGAGATTTATGACTAAGACGCTTTACTCTATGACTACTGGCTAGCTCTACATTGTTTTTTTTGGGTACTTCACTACAATGATCAGAAAGTTCACAGTTTTTTCTATTTTTCAAAGAAGTTTTCTTATATATAGGCTTTTCCATTTGTGAAAATTCTGTACTATTTTTGACCTTACCAGCTTTGTTTTTCATCGCAATGATTTCATCTGTATCTCCTGAATCATAGTTGCAATCATTTCCCACATTATCGAGGCAAGAGATGTTATTTTTGATGCCTAAACCTGTTAAAGAACAAGGTTTGTGAACATCTGATTTGAAATCATCCCTTACAACTTCAAAGGAATCATTTTCAAACTCATTTGTTAAGGACCATACAGTTCTCGCTCTGTTTTCCTCTCTTGCAATGATTAGTCTTAATTCATCTTCAGAATCGGTATCATCATCAGACATGCTATTTTTGCTCCTGGTAGTTTCCGAGCCAGAAGTCTGAAAAAATGCATGTTTAACTTTCTGATTATCAGAATCAGGTACATGAAGTAACTGAGGAGCAATGGGGTTATTAGGTAATTCTTGTGTGGCCTGTTGCCATGTCATGTGTGGACTCTCTACTATTACCCTACTGGATCTTGGTCTCACAGCCAAAGACACAGTGGAACCCTCATCCTTCTGTGCTTTTATTATCTTCTTGGGAGGGCTGTGAAAGTCAGAAAACTCTCCTCGCCGTTTCTTACTCATAGGATCATTCCCTCCTTCCAGTTCCCAAGTGAGGTTGGATATAGGGATGACATTTGTAAAATCCTCCCCTATTTTCTTTAAGTTGTGGCAGTATTTTGATGGATCATACTTCATGATGTTACCGAAAGTCAAGGAACAAAACAAAGGCACTAGATTTTAGGAAAACCTGTCAATCTGATGAAGCAAAAGGAATATTGCTTAATCTTACTCTCAGTTTCCTAGCCAAGAAAATGAGAATTTCACTAGATGACCTCAGGGTCTTTGGAACTGAGCTTCCTTTCCAGGGTTAAAACAAAGAACCATCACTATTAAATGGCAGAATATCTACTTGTATGTAGACATTACAGCAAACGGATTCAGATTGTATTTTAGGTACAGAGGTCCCAAGATTGTTGTCTGTAAAACCAAGACATCCATCTGCTGAGCTGATGCTGTAAAGCAGAGTAGAGAGGGGCACCCAGAGAGGAACAGCTGGACTTCACATGTCCTCAAGTTTCAAATTCTTTTTGTCATTCCTGCCTTCTCAATGCTGGCCTATCCTAGCTCTGATTCTCCTAGCTCAATAATCTCTATTTTACGTATTTTACATTGTACTCACTCCCTGCAGAGGTCTTTATTAGAAAGCTATTAATTCTTTACCAGGCCTGTTTTGTTGCTATTATCCAGAAAGATTCTATCTAATGTCAGTGTGCTGTGATCATAGCCGGCATTTGCTGATTTCCTAAAACATACAAATAGTCAAGTATAGTTGCTGTAGGTTATCCCTCCTGGAAAGTTTCTTTGTTCACTTAGTAACTACTGAATATGTGTCAAGTATGTGACATGTGCCAGTGTCCACTGTCTCTCAGCTTCAAGCTTCCCTTCAATATCCTCCTCTGTTGTTAGTGGCTGCCCTTGGTGGGAAGCTGGAAGGTAGAGCAGCAGCAGCAGGGCTCAAGGCCTCAGTGGGACAGAAGCCCCAGGTAATGAGGACACATCTTTCTGTTTGTCTAGCCCCAGGATGGTAGCAGTTTGCTGCAGTTATTCATCTTTGGACAACCTATCACCTTCCAGCTTCTCCTGCACTTTTTAAACCAACTGTACATATTCTATCCCCTCTGTTGAAATACCTGGAACTGCTTCTGCTTCCCTGACTGACACACACTGTAAGAGCTAAAGGATACACAAGCTGTACCCTCTGCCCAGAAGTTCATGGCACTAGGAATTCAAGGTCTTAGACAATCTGACCTCTTTTCCTCAAGGGAGCAGGTATCTCAATTTGCTCATCCTGGGCTCTACACTATTTCTCCACCCAACTGCTTGTCTACATATTTCTATCTAGTAATTTTCTTTTTCCTGGAATCTTTCCTATCACTTTTCTATTAATGTGAAAACTACTTCACTTCCTCTAAAGCATACCTTAACAATGGCCCATGTTCACCTGCACTACTTTAGCTCTTTTAGCAATAATTTTGAATCCATATCAAATGAGAGGAAGGACGTATAAGTGAAAAGGCTTCTCTGACAATCATCATTTGTATCACTCACTTGTATAAAACCTCATGACATTCTTATTATTCTCTTAATTATTCCATACATATAGGCAGGTAGATCTTACCTTGTCTAGAAATTAGGAACATAAAACTATTAAATAAACATGTAAAGATTTCCTGACAGAGGCAGGGTAATTCTAAAGATAGGAATTTAACTTTTGCAATTAGCCATTACTGTAATAAATAATAATTACTCTGAAAACGCAACTGCAAAGGATATTTTATGTTTACGTTGATTCTTTAGGTGAAGGACAGGTAAGACTCTTCCAAATTTACTCACAACCCAATTCTAAAAGCAAAGAAAAAAAATATTTATTATATATGTCACAAATGGAAAACATTATCCACATTATGTAAGTGTGACTTTTTTAAATGCTGAACTTACAGTTGGCCATGATTACTATTGGGTTTACTTTCCTGATAAAGAAACATTAAGTTCTCAAAAAAAAAGTATATAAGGAAAGAAAAAAGAAAAGTTGACGCAGTAATTGATCCCATATAAACAAGTAGGATGCCACACAAAAACCACTATTTGTTAGCAATGTCAGCAGCATTGGTGGCATTTAGGATCTCCAGGTCTCTCCCCTTGAAATTACAAGTCAGACAGCTATATTTGAACAAAGGATTCCCTGCTCAACACACAAATATGTCCTAGGGATCCGCACATTGAGAAATCTGAAGGTGGGTGTATCAGAGCAAGCAGGGGAGGCAGGAATTGGGGGTGGTGGACAGAGACAGGAGCCGCAGGCGCAGTCCAACGCTTGCTGTGGACCCAACAGACGGGACAGCAGTGAAGAGTGAGAGAGCAACCCCCACTGGGCAGAATGGAAGGGCAGAGGCAGCAATCAGGCCTGGGTGGGTGGAATAAACTGAGGCTGAGCCCAGGGTCTGGGGCAGTGAAGTGGTGCAAAGAGTTGCAGTGTTCCACAAGCCACCATCACCAGACAAAGAAAGCAGCACATGTGGAAACCAGCCCTACTCCATCCTCCAGTAGCCCGCCAGGTATTAAAACCCTCACCAGACAGATTATGGAAGGGCAGAAGCAACTTTCCAACCTAAGTGGTCTGTATGCATTGCCACTAAACACACTAGAAGGAGCGAGTCTCAGATGTGTGAATCAGCTTTTCCCTCACCCACCCCTTGCACACCCATTGCGGCAGAGCCTGGTAGAGGCAGGTGAGATACCCCAGACAGAGGTGTGGCTGGTGGCTTCAGAATGTAGGAAAATGATGCTGGGAACACAGACCAGGAGATTCATAGCCTGCCACATATCACCATGGGAGTGGTGCTCTACAACCAAGGCAATTGGGTTAGAAATAGGATGGCAACCTCCTTGGGGAAAATGGGGTGTTTTCAATGGCTGAGGCAACACCAACACACAGAGATCCTGGAAGCCCTAGGAGAGCAGGCAAGAGAAAACAAAAATGTGTACTTCACTGCTACCTACTGGAAAAAAAAAAGAGAGACAACTATTTATCAACCTGATAAACAGGAGTCAAATACCTAAAAAAAAAAAGAATGACAATACAGTATATAAAATTTTTGGGATACAGCAAAATCAGTAATAAGAGGCAAGTTTATGTCATTACTGGCTTACTTCAAAGAACAAGAAAAATGTCAAATAAACAACCTAACATTTCACCTTAAAGAACTAGAAAAAGAATAAATGAAACACAGTTAGTAGAAGGTAGGAAATAATAAAAATTCGAACAGAATTAAATGAAACAGAGAACAAAAGTAGAAAAAAATTAAAGCAACAAAGCTGGTTCGTTGAAAAGATATAAAATTGACAAACCTCTGGCTAGGAAAAAAAGAGAAGACTCAAAATCAGAAATGAAAGAGGAGAGGTTACAAAGGACAGCACAGAAAAAACAAAGAACTATAAAAGAATACTGTGAAAGGCTATAAACCACCAAATTAAATAACCAGAAAAATTGGAAAAGTTTGTAGAAATATATGACTTGCCTAGACTGAATCATGAAAAACTGGAAAATTTAAATAGACTAATCAACAGTAATGTAATTGAAACAGTCCTCAAAAACTGCCCCAAAATTAAAAGTCCAGGACCACATGCTTCACTTGTGAATTTTACCAAACATTCAAAGAAGATTTAATACCTATCCTCTGAAACTCTTCCAAAAAATTGAAGAGGTAATACTTCCTAATTCACTTTATGAGGGCAACATTATCCTGATACTCAAATCTGGCAAAGACAACACAAAAAAAGAAAATTACAGACCAATATCTCTGATGAATATAGATGCAAATATCCTAAACAAAATAGTAGCAAATTGAATACAACAATACATGAAAAAGATTATACATCACGATCAACCAGAGTTCAATCCAGGGGTGCAAGCAAACTTCAACATATGCAAATCGATCAAAGTGATACACCACATAAAATAAAAAATAAAAATTATATGATATCAATAGATGCAGAAAAAGCATTTCACAAGATAGAACATCCATTTATGATTAAAACACTCAATAAAATGGGTACAGAAGGAAAGTACCTCAACATAATAAAAGCCATATATGAGAAACCCTCAGCTAATATACTCAATGAGGAAAAACTGAAAGCTTTCATCTAAGATCAAGAAAAACACAAGAATACCCTCTCTCACCACTGTCATTTAACGAAGTATTGGAAGTCCCAACCCAGAGTAATCAGACAAGAGAAAGAAATAAAAGGCATCCAAATTGGGAATAAAAAAGTCAAATTGTCACTTTTAGCAGATGATATGATTCTTTATATAGAAAACCCTAAAGATGCCATCAAAAAACTATTAGAAACAATAAACAAATACAGTAAAGTTGCAAGATGCAAAATCAATGTACAAAAATCCATTGCGTTCCTACATACCAACAATGACATTTCAGAAAAAGAAATGAACAAATTTCTTTCGCAGTTGCAACAAAAAGAATAAAACACCTAGTTATGAATAAACATAACAAAGGATGTGAAGGACCTATACACTGAAAACTACAAGACATTTTTAAATGAAATTGAAGAAGACACAAAGAAATGGAAAGACATTTCATGTTCATGGATTGGAAGAATCAACATAGTTAAAATGGCTGTATTACCCAAAGCAATACACAGATTTAATGCAATCCCCATCAAAATAATGGCATTTTTTAAGGATTTTTTTTTCCCCCTTTTTTCTTTTTTTTTAGCTGAGCCATCCTGCCACCTGTTGGCAGCTCAGCTTGGGCCCCGAATTGAACCGCTGTTGCTCAGCGCTCAAACTCTTGAGCGAGCTCTTAACCAACTGAGCCACTCGGCCAGCCCAATAACGGCATTTTTTAAAGAAATAAAACAAAAAATCATCAGGTTTGTATGCAATCACAAAAGACCCCAAAAAGTCAAAGCAATTCTGAGAAAGAAAACAAGGCCGGAGGTATCACACTCTCTGACTTCAAATACTACAAAGTGACAATAATCAAAACAGCATGGTATTGGCAAAAGAAAGATACACAAACCAATGGAACAGAACTGAGAGCCCAAAAAGAAACTCCCATGTATATGGGCAACTAATTTTCGACAAAGGATCCAAAAATATGCAATGGAGAAAGGAAAGCCTCTTCAGTAAATGGTGCTGGGAAATTGGAAATCCATGTGTGCAAGAATGAAACTAGACAACTATTTGACACCATACGCAGAAGTTAACTCAAAATGGATCAAAGACTTAAATATGATACCTGAAACAATAAAATACATAGAAAAAAACCACACAGGTATGAAACTTATGGACCTTGGTCTCAGAGAGGCTTTTAAGAAGTTGACTTCAAAGGCAAGGGAAGTAAAAGCAAAAATAAATGAATGGGACTGTATCAAACTAAAAAGCTTTTGCAAAGCAAAAGAAACCATCAACAAAACAAAGAGGCAACCTACTGAATGGGAGAAAATAATTGCGAACAATACCTCCAAAAATGGGATAATGTCCAAAATATATAAAGAATTCATACAATGTAACAAAAAAACAAACAAGCCAATTAAAAAATGGGCAGAGGACCTGAACAGACACTTCTACCAAGACATACACACAGCCAACAGATATATGAAAAGATGCTAGTTATTAGGGAAATGAAAATCAAAACTACAATGAGATATCACCTCACACCTGTTAGAATGGCTATTATCAACACGACAAGAAATAACAAGTGTTGGTGAGGCTGTGGAGAAGAGGGAACCCTCATACACTGCTGGTGGGAATGTAAGTTGGTACAGTCACTATGGAGGTTCCTCAAAAAATTATGAATAGAGGTATCTTATGACCCAGCAATCCCTCTTCTGGGTATCTACACACACACACACACACACACACACACACTACTAAGCAATAAGAAAAGATGAAATACTGCCATTTGCTACAACATGGGTAGATCTTGAGATTATCATACTATGTGAAATAAGTCAGATGGAAAAGGACAAGAACCAAACGACTTCACTCATATATGGGATATAAAACGGAAAGCCAACAAATGAACAAACAAAACAAAGAAACGAACTCATAGACACAAACAGTATGAAGGTTACCAGAGGGTAAGGGGGGTTGGGAGAGGATGAAGAGGGTATAAAGGGCCAAATATGGTGATGGAGGGAGACTAGACTTTGGGTGGTGAGCACACGATGCAATGTACAGATGATGTATTATAGAAATGTACATTTGAAACTTATATAATGTTATTAACCAATGTGACCCCAATAAACTTAACTAAAAACCGAAACAAAACACCAGGTGTGAAAAAGGCAAACTTGGGAACTTCCTGATTTCCTCATTACCGATTTCCCTTGGGAGATCAACCTCCACGTGGGTTTTGATTTCTCTCTCTGTAAAATGGGGTGCACTGTGCTTACCCAAGAGTTGTAAATGCACTTTCAAAACCATAATGCACTATCTATGTTAGAAAGCAACTGTTTTAGACAAGATGCCCAGGCACGTCGTCTCAGGAGTCGGCTCCTGGCCTAGTCAGGCCGCCAGAGGAGACTCACTTTGTGCCCTCGTACTTCTGTCCCTGGCACAGCTTTCACATGGAAATCCACCACTCCCATCTTTTTTAATAAGTTGGTGTTGCCTATTGTTGATTTTTCTTTCTTTGCTTTGGCTTCTTGTCTCTCTTGAGCCAATCTGAATCAAAGAGAAAATATAAGAGTTAAAATATAAGAGCTAAAACAAGAGGTAAAATAACTAACCACGCTATTAACAGTGCTTTTGTTTTGCTTTTTAACACTATAATGCTGTTTAACTTTATAGTCATCATTTAGGGTCTCTCAATTTTCTCCTTCAACTTGTGCACTTGGGCATTTTGTCCCTTCTCGATGCATTCATTCTTCCTCATGAAGAGGAGGTATCTTTCAGAGTCCAATCTGCCAAGCATTGACTATGTCTATCCTCATAATGAAGAGAATGCAGATTGCCATGCCAACCTTTTGATTCAAACTCCACCACCTTATTTCAGCCTGGACAACTAAGGTGCCCAGTTCTTGCTGGCCTCTCTGTCTCTGGTCTGTCTCCTTTTACATTCTATCTTCCAGAATGCCTGTCAGATTTCTGCTCCTCAGGCACACCTGTGGACATCCCATGGTGGTAGACTGTGTTCTCACCCTGCTCTGGACTGGGGTCTCAGTTCCTGCACACAGTAGGCACTCAAATGCTGCTGAATGAAAGTCTCCTGACTACTCTGTTCACAGAGGTTTCCAGCTGAGGAACAAAATCAAATCCTTACCTTTCTCACCAGACCTCAAAACACGCCTCCAGTGGCTGCTTGCCACTTCCCTTAGATTTTACTTTTCCTTGTGCCAATGCCTTGGTCTAGTACAATCTTATCAACGATCCTGGTTTCTCCACCTGTATATTCCTAAAATGTTTTCTGTTTTGAAAGTTCCCAAACTTACATAATCTTTCCTCCCTGAGAATACCTGTAGGGTCTTAAAATGCTCTAAGAATTGTTACAATGCCTTGTTCTTAAGTCACTTGCCTAATGAATCTTATGCTTCTCATACAGATACTTCCCGTTATCTTTATACTTTTGTATGACACTAGCATTAATAGTAAAAAACAACACAAGCAATTTGGTAGTGTCTATTAAACTTGTGTATAACCCCATAACACAGCAACCCCCCTTGCTGACGTCAATTCCAGAGGAACCCTTGCATGATGCAGAAGCCATCCTCAAAGGCCATCTATTATCATGAAGACATGGAAACAGCCTAAATGTTCATCAGTGGGGGATGGCCAATTACATTGTAGTACAGCTATTTTCCCAAACAGTACTAAACAGTCAATATGAAAAAGGGGGAAGACCTACATCAAAACAAAAGGTCGTGTCAAAAAAGATGAAATAGGCATATATTTTTTATGGCTAAAATATTACATATGAAAATGCACTGCATTATCTTTTTTGGTAGGGTCTGGGGTCATAAGGAGTCATAGTTAAGAGTCATTTTAGCTCTACCTGTGAAGTTGAATTGGCTAATACCACAATAAATACATTACTCAATAGTTTCAAATCATTTAAGTGAATATATGAAACCACTTACAATATAGTGTTTAAATTCATGTATAGCAAATCTTACCTGTGCAAAAAACTTTCTTTTGCTAGCTGAATTTGTAGTGTTCCACCTTTCCATTTTGTTTTATTTAGAACAGACATACCTGTAAAATAAAGAATTATTACCCAAGTACATGGCAATGCCTTTCCATGTATTTCCGCATATGCTTTTTCAAATTATTTAGTACCAAAGAAAGTAGACTTGTTAATCACAAGGAGATATAGAGGAAACAGAATGAAGAACTTGAGACCTGGAGTGAGAAAGCCTAGGTCCCACTCTTATCTCGATCATTTACCAGAATCCTTATATTCCCAGTGTTACTATAATGAAGCAAATGTGTAAGCTATAAAGCAAAATTTGTCACTTATTATTAAGTAATGTCAGAAACCTCTGCTGAATGACTGATATTTTCTTAACATTTCATTGTTATATCCCACACTAAAACTTTAAAGTATTAATGTAATTTTTCTAAGGGAATCAGGACACTTTGGAATCCTGTAGCGCCTCACTTTTTTTATTTTTTAAAAGCTGAGCCATGCTGCCACCTGTTGGCAGCTCAGTTCGGGCTGCGAATCGAACTGGCAATCCTGTTGCTCAGAGCTCGCACTCTTGAGCGAGCTCTTAAGCACCTCACTTTTATTTATCACTTAATACCAGTTATCACTGTGCAACTTCCAAACAAATTAGCTACAAGTGACTAAACTGTGTTTGAACTGCTATGCCCCAGTAGTTGATGCTTATCAGTATCTGCTACCAGCTTTCTTAATAACTACTAACAGATAGAAGTTTCCATTGGTAAGTAATATTTTAAATAGAAAGGTACTGTTCAATTTAATCTTCATGGTAATATTATGGGGCAAAGTAGCATCTTTGTCATGGGCCTAGAAGTTTAAATAACTTGCCACAGGTCACACGCCAGAGCTGATGTGTTCTTAACTACGACTCACTGGACAATAGAATAAATCAATTTCTTTTCTTACAATTGAAATGCAAGGCTGATGGCCCTCTTTCTCTATGAGCACGTTCCCTTTTCAGTATCTCTTGACTTTTCAGCCTCCAAATAGCTAGACTACATTACTGCATCAGTGGCAGTCTGGATTATATCCCCTTTCTTCTTCAATAAAGACCACGGTTTGCCCTCAGCTTTACTAAGCTTATTGATAGATTTCATAATTTCCAGAATATCGTCATGTAACAGCATATTTTAAAGCCAGCCCTCTCCTAACAGCATGTAATGACAAGAAAATTACCTGTCCAAGAAATGACATAATATCGAGTGGAATATGTGTAACGCAATTTGTATGAAAGTTTTGTCTCTTGTCCAAAACATTTTAGAATACCATTTTTGGGCAAACCCACTAGTGCTGTGTTACCACAGGTTTGCTAACGCTAAATGGTATGAAAACTAAACTTGCTGAATTGTAGGATACTGGAATTCTTTTGATGATGATTGTCCCTCTGGATGTTTTAAAAGTGGCTGTTAAGGTTTAGATTTAGAATAAAATTATTTCAAGTTAAACAGTGACATAAACTGGCAAATAGTATAGAAAACATATGACCTTACATCTTTTCAGGTCTGTTTCAGCTACTCTGATGTTGATATATGCAAAGACTTTCTGTGGGTTTCCTAAAAAAAAATAAAAATAAATTTATTTAAACTCTTATCCAGAGACCAATGTAAAAATGATTAAATTTCTAAATTTAAAAATGAACTCATGAAAACTTACTCTTTCAAAGAAAAACCTTGTTTATTTTTCACTGAACACAAAGACTACCTTTTTCTAAGTATGCTTATTAAAATATTCCAAAAGAAAATGAGTATGAAAAAAATGTCAAGTGGTCAGTTAAGGTAACATTTTTATTATGAGTTAGTGATATTCTACTTAATAGGACATTTAATTAATATTAGAATGTTAGCTCTGAAAACTGAAAGTTACGTTTCCAAAATTGGACGCTTTGGAATTATGAATTTCTTCGATTTTAGAAATATAATTCTGGGCAAGTTCCACATCATAAGTAACACCTCCAGGGCATGGGGTGGGGTACACAAAACAGTATCCTACAATGAAATGCACATCACTTTAGTGTTCATGGCTAACATTCATCTATGGGGTTCCTTTATTTTGTGATAACTGACCTGAGTTAGATGTGCCTTTAACTACCCATGAAAGAATATAAATATACCTTGGTCATCTTTCCGAGTGATGATCTCCACATCAGAAACTTCTCCAAATCTGCTGAACTGATTTTGTAAGTCTGCTTCAGAAATGTTCTGGCCAAGGCCACCCACAAAAAGGCGCTTTGTTTCTCTGTTGGTTTTCATGAAGACTGGGCACACACAGCGTGTTTTAGTAGGGAAAATAATTTTCTCTCTACAGAGAAGAGTCCTTTCCCTTAGTTCTTCTGAAACCTAAAAAACAAAAAACAAACAAAAAAAACACCCCAAACTCTTTTCCTTGAATCTTCTATGCCAAATTGGTTGCCTGAACTTTCACTTCTTATTTTATGATTTCTAAATTTTATTCCTGGGGATTCTGGTCAAGTCCTACATCCACTTTCTCCACGAACACACTTTGGAACAACACCTTTATACACGCATCGATACAGGTACAGGCAGATGCTTTCCTTCAAATGAGCACAATATTATACTCCACCCCTCTTCATTTACTTATCCACGGTGTTAGGTGTTTTTCCTTATTCATTTATACATTCACTTATTCACTGTAACAAATGCTGACAGAAATGAGATGTGGCAGGTTAATGTGCTAAAGGTTAAAAAGACAGCTCTATCTGAGAGCTCCTCAATCAGGTGAGAAGTAAGCAAATAATGCACGTACAATACTAAGTCACCAATACAGATTTGTTTTGTTTTTTACTATGAGGGGAGATTAAGTCACTTTCTAAATGCCACTCAGAGAATTAGTGGTGAAGCCAGAATTACAAACCAAGTATAATTTCAGAACCTGTAATTTTTAGCACTATCCTAGGAAGGTTGTTGGATTAGAAGGGACTCATGAAAACTCTTCCAGAGGTACTGAGGTTGAGGCCCATTATGAGATCAACCAGTTTGGTACCCTGCAGGCGCACATCTCCCACACCCTGCCCTTCCCAAAGAGCAGACAGCCTCCTCCCATTCACGACCCTCAGTGCCCAGAAGCCTGAAGCATGGCTCGTGTACTGCGCGTGAGCCACGGCCTACATCTTCCTCCCGCCCCTAACCGACACACCCCAGCCTTCCTCCTCCTGAAGACCCAAAGACGAGAAGGGAAAGGGTGGACCAAATGGCCAGGTCGTTTCCCACGCCCCAAACATACTCCTCACCAAGCCGTTTTTCCACATCCAGCGCCGCTTAGGCCTCTAACTTCTAGTCACGTGTCCCAACAGGCGCAATCTCTCTTCCTTCCTACTCGATTTCCAATCCAGTCTCCTAAGGTTCCGTTACCATATTCAGCTCCCGAGTGCTCTTTATTTCGTTTCCCGCCCTCTTGGATGCCACGATGCCTCCGCCACCCTGCCCTCAACGTCCTCAAAAGACCGAAGCCAAAATTCCATAACTCATACTTAAGGTTATCACCTTGTGTTTATCCATTCCTGGACTACGTCGGCGGAAATGAGGGAGAGGAAGAAAAATAACCAAGGCACTCCCCTTCGCACTACACTGGAACTTCCTCTTCAGTGACGTACAAATCCGGGATGTTCCAAAGCTTCATAAACGCGGGTTGGACAGCCTTGCCCTTGTGTTTCGGCTTGAAGCGAACCAACTCTCTCGACGCGTAGGAATTGCTGGGGACCAGCTGTGGCAAGGAGTGCAGGGACTGCAATGAGCCCGAGATACCGTGAGAGCTTGGGCTATACGCACGAAAGTCGCGCATACTCCCTCGTCTCCTCCATCGAGCTCCTGGGATAGTCCGCGCCTGGAGCGCGGGAGGCTTGAAGCGCTGGGCGAGGCGCTCGTCAATTCAGCCGCCTCCTGTCAGCGCCGCGCGATGGATTCTGAGCTGGCGGAGGTCCGCACCTTGGAAGCCGAGAGCGCGGCCTTGAGGTCGGCGTGCAAGGAGCCGCCGGCGCTCGGGGGAGACGCCGCCTGTGTCCAGTACGTGGCCCTCCTTAGGCCGGGTGGGGCGGGTGAAGGCCTTTCCTTTTGGGCGTTCCGAACCTCCCTGCAGACATTTCCGAAGCACTAAATGTGGGCGGGAACACCGGTTCTGTAACTGGGCCTAGCGGGAGTCCGCGCTATGGCTCGGTTGTAAGCGCCTTGCCGTGTATGAACTGATTGAATAGCAGTCGTGGGAAAGTGGTTTTCTTTTATGTTCTCTTTCTCTTGCGGGTAACTATCAAGGCGAAAGTCTTGCTTATCGCCTTAATAAGCTTGTCTTGGCTGAGGAGATTATCTAGTTGGGATTTAATAAGTCTGGTTTCATGGCATTTGTTTGTATGGGTCACCTATGGCAAGTGATAATTTTTCCTTTATGCTAGTGATATAAAATTTTCTTTGAGCAGTAATTTAGGTAAAAAAGTAAGTTGATGTAAATAAAAATAGCTAATATAGCCTGCAAGAGAATTTTGCAAACGTCAGGCAAGCGGTTGTCAAATGCCTGCAGGTGGGGAAGCACCGCTCCAAGGGAAGTAGGGGAACTCCCTGCCTAAAGGAAGACAGCCATTATGCACGAATAGGCAGAGATAAGTAGAGAGCTCTTATGTCTGCCACAGAGTGGTGGCATCTTAACGTCTTTGTTACTAGTAACAGTCTATCGATTACTTACCAAGTGCCAGACTGTGATGCAAAGGTCTTTATGTGCAGCATCTCTTTTAGTGCCTATGACAATCCTTTGAGGTAGGGCCTATTGTTAACCCTGTCTTAAAGTTAAGGAACTTGAGACTCAGAGAAGTTAAGTTGCTTCCTCAAATTCTCAGAGAAAGTAAGTTTCAGAGCTGGATTGGAACTTGTCATGAGTGACTGCTAGGCTCACAGTTCATGCTGCAGTCACTTCCTGCAAGTCAAGGGGACTAACGCCCCGAGAGACTGTCAGACCCCCAGGATTTACCTGGCACTGATGGAAGCCTCCGTGGTAGCCATGGTACAAGCAAAGAACAGAGCACACAAGATCTTAAATGCCTTTTAATATGCTCTTTACTCAAACATCAATACACCAAGCAGTAAAGCACACAGAATAATACAATAATTGAACAGAGTAGAGTAATGAATTAGTCCCAAAGTCAGAGTCCTGGTGGAGAGAGGAAGGGTGGCTGGTCCGGGAGGTCAGTCCTGCAGAGGTTCAGTCTGAGTCTGATGGAGCAAGCAGGTTTTTGGGGAAAGGAGCAGTGTGGTCATCTCTCAGTTGGGACCAGCTCTCTGAGCTGCAAAAGTCCACAGTTCTTATGCAGTTCTGAGTGTCTTCCTGACATCACCTTATTGGGGCAGCCAGCTGGCGACCCTGACATCATCATATCTTCAGTAGCAGATCTTCAGGGTATAACTGGTTACACCAGGGCAACCGGACAGCTCCCTTGGCGTTGTCTGCTAAGTTCTTTGCGCATGTCCAGAATGGAGTTACTCTTGCTCATACAATATGGAGTCACTGTTGCTCACACAAAACTCATTCTAACAGCTTCCAGGGGTGCTCTACACATGCCATTCCCTGATTCCTGGAAGCCAAAGCAGGGCTTGAGGAAATCACTAAGTGGTAAGAGCCAACACAGGGCTCCAGAAAATCACAAGGGTGTAAAGGCCAATACAGGGCCCTTATTTTAATTTCTTGGTACATTTTGCTTTGCAAAGGGAGCACATGATATATTTGAGTCAGTAATATCCAAAGATTACACACAACAAGCCTAAAAGAATTTCTTTAAGTACTGTCCATGTATGGCTCACAATGTAAGTAAAAGCATTATAAGCAAAATGAACAGGGTTATAATCACTTCATGATCCAGAACAGGTGTGTAGGTGCAGGGATCTTTTTATGAGTCCCCAAAACAAACAAGGTTGGGTGAGGGTTTTTGCAAGGCTGTGTTTAGACATGCCTGCATTAAGTGTGTATGTTAGGTGTTGTAATTTTAGTGAATGTTGTTGCAGAGATTGAACATGCTTTGATGCCTCATTTAATAACATGTAGGTTATCCTGTATGGTTTGCTGTACCGTGGATGTGTTAACCCAGGGTAACTGTTCAATGTCATCTGTCACCGTAGGTGGTAAATATCTGTAGGAGACGTATGTGGTATGTGTGGTAAGGTATGCATCATTATTAACAGTAATGTTGTTTACATTCTGTGGAGCATTGCAGTTAATAATTGTAACATTTGTATTGCTCTGTGATGTATGGTTGTAAAGAAAGAGGGGTTGTGGCTTGCTTGCACAGATTATCCATGCACCATTACCCAAGTTCTTTACAAGGTTTGGAGTGGTTGTTTCCACAAGAGGTACATCATGAAATGATTCATCAATCTGTTGCATAGTATAATATTGGGTTGTTGGAAAAGTCACGATGTATTTTTCTATGTTTTTCGTTGCAAAAATGCGTCATGACTTTTCCGACAGTCCAATAGATGTTATCAGAAAACTTATGGACCATATCTCTAGGAATATAATATCCCTGTATGTAAAAGGGTCTTTCAACTGGAATGAAAGTCTTATCATAAATAGTTTATAGGTGTTGAATATGTGTCACATACATCAGGGTAGATTTAGCCTCAATTAGCTCAATGTTCAACTGGAATTTTCCATCCTCAGTGCATCCCGAGGGTCTGCTACTATCTAACTGTAATAGGGAATCTGCTCCCCAAGATGTGGAAGAGGATGTGCCAAGCTTTAACACGTAAGATATATCTTCCACTGATGTTTGAAGCAGAGTAAGGAGTGTGTTGCATCTGCTCAGAACTTTTCTCTAAGTACCATGTTTCTAAGGGTTAATAAATTAAGATTTAAAATCTGTGCTCTTTTATCAAGGGCCTCTACAGCGGCAGTTAGGGTTTTCATTATATCCTCATGAGTTGAGGAGAATGGAATTAATATCTGCAGCTGATTTAGAAATTTCTCCTACCATCTGATTTGTTCAAAGAAGTGTTCCCTCTTTTGCTTTTCTGCAAATAGGTCAGTTCTAACTTCTTGAATTTCAGCTTCCTGTATTCCATCTATAATGAAAGATGTGATGATACCTAGAGCAACTAGTTGTAAAGGTTTTTCTGAGCTTTTGTAGCGGTTTTGTTATGAAATGGGACTGTAGACATGAACTTAGGATCGTTAAAGATCTCACATTCAGGTAATAAGGTGTTAATTCTAAAGGAATCTTTTTTTTTAAAGATTTTTATTGGGGAATTGGGGGATGGGAACAGTGCTGGGGAATTGGGGGAAGGGAAACAGACAAGTTGCTGTCCTTTTTGTTCTTCAGTCTAGTTGTGGAGGATGTTGCTTCACTGGCCCAAGTTGGCACCATCATTGCTCTCTTCCCAGGCGAGGCAGATCAGTCGCCGGCTTCTGGACGGCCGCTCACTGTGGCTACTGGCCGCTCACACTGGCGCTGGCTACACATGGTAGCCCATGGCAACCCACTGCCGCAGGGGCTGCAGCCTACGCTGTCGCCGGCGACTCATGGCAGCCCAGCTCCAGGTTGAGCTGTTGTTCAGCATCTTAGCTGTAGAGGGCAGTGTCACTGGCCCTCATATATGGGATCCGAACCGGGGCCCTCTGGCATCCCAAGCCAGCTCTTAACCAACGCGCCACTCGGCCGGCCCTAAAGGAATCTTTATTGAATCTAATTTTAACTCTCCTAGGAGTGGGTCTATATAGTAATCTATTTGTCTGTATCGTGATTGGCATTGGTCCTGTGGTATTATGTACGCGTATGACTGGAGATGGTTTTAGTAATCCCCTGGTCCATTCTGGTTTAAAATGTTCAGTGCATACAAAATGCGTATCATCAAAACATCCTCTTATAACCCTGCATGGTCCTGGGTGATTCTCAGGTAAATGACATTTATCCCAGTCCATATGCAGCAGCCATAAGTGTTGTTTAGTGTCAATGATTGACGAATTTCTGATGTTATCAATTGGAATGTGTGATGTAAAAAGTGCCTGTTTCCTGATTCTTTGGAGAGGTAAGATCATATGGAATTGATATACCTGTAAACCTATGTCTACTCTCTGTCAATGATCTGTTCAAAACTAGGTGCTGGCCGAGTGGCTCAGCTAGTTAAGAGTTGGCTTAAGAACGTGAGGTCTGAGCAACAGGGCCTCCGGTTCGATTCCCACATGGGCCAGTGATGCTGTGCCCGAGCTGAGCTGTCGCTGAGCTGCCAACAGGTGGCAGGATGGCTCATGACTCAGCTGGTGTAACAACAAGATTGCCTGTTCAATGGTGGGCTATGCCCACCCGCAACTAAGATTGAACTCAGCACCTTGAGCTTAGAGGCCACGAGCTGCCAACAGGAAGCCAGATGGCGACTGGTGCCCTCCATAACGAAGATTGAAGAACAACTTGGGTGGTCCCCCTCCCCAATTCCCCAACACTGTTCCCCTCCCCTAATTCCCCAATAAAATCTTAAACAAAAACAAAAACAAAACTAGGTGCTGGTGGGTCTAATGGTGTGTTCATCAAATGAGTAGTTTCTGTTAGTATTTGTGGTGGTGGATGTAGTCTCCAATCTAATTCACCTGCTGATAATTTGTTGTCTTTGAAAAAGAAGTTTTCAGGTGTTAAATATTGTGATTGTGGTGTGAGCCAAAGATCAAAGAGTGAGTTTCCTGTGCATGTATGGATGCAAAAGTTGCCAAATGTAGGAAAATTTGGGAATCCTATAAGCCCATATGTGTACCATGTTATATTCTTATTCTGTGTGATAGTATAGCCTATCAGATATCCTAGTGGTCACTTAATGGTGGTTAGCATGGGAGAGAAATGGAATAGATGTTATGTGAGTTTAAGGATTGATGGTTTGGTTATAGTCTCAGTACTGGTAGCCCCACAGCCGACCTCAGTACTAACCTCAGTGCTAGTCTCAGTACCAATCTCAGTACTATCCTCATAATTCTCATAATCCTCATAATCATTATCCTCATCAGTGTTGCCTTCCCCTGGGTTCCACCAAAAGTTGTACAT